AACAGAGAATCAAGTGGTCACTCAGCTAGTGAGGCCTACATAAGACCTGGAATCGGAACCCGCAGCTTCCTGGGCATCTGATACAGACAGATCTGCAGAAGCAATGGCATGGAGGTGGCCCCACCACCTGGCACAGCAGGTCCCCCACCTGCAGGAGCACTGTATAATGGCTACAAGCCCCACTGCCCCACAGCACTGTGACTCTGGGCCTTGCTGAGCCTCAGTTTCCCCATCCTGAGCCAGGACCCTGCACACCTCTCTAGCAGGTTCTCTATGGCTTATGGCTTTCCCCAGACAGAGGCTGAGTGCTGCGCCCCACCCAGCCAAATCTAGTGGGGGTGGGACATTGGGTCCTCATCTCTACCTTCACCCAGCTGCATCTTGGGTCCCACCCCACCCCCAGGCCCAGGCTGGGGCGAGAGGGCCTCCAATCCCAAGAGAGGCCATGGGGGGCGGCGCGGGCCTGGGAGGCGGGAGCTGGAGAGAATTCACTGGGGAAGCATCCTGAATGGCTCATTAGTGCCGATGAAAGCCTTTTTTCATTTCGTCTAAATACTTTAAACAGGGCTCCCTCCGATGTCTATTTGCATAGCTTAAGAGCTAATGCAGGGGGAGGGCCTAGGCGGTGGGGCCAAGCCGGGGCAGGGGGCTGTGCCGAGGGGATGGCGGTGGCGGTGGGGAGGGGGAGGGGGAATTTCCCAGCCTGCTGGGGGGAGGCAGCCACTCACCCTGCAGGAGGGGAGGACAGAGCAGCCCAGAGAATGTCCCTGTGTGCGGTGCCAGGTGGACCTGTAGGTGGGAATCGCGGGGAACTATCTTGCTGTGAGCCAACCGATGTCCCCCTCCGACATGCATGGCTTTGAGCAAGGTGGCCCTTTGAATGGGTGGTACAGTGTCAGCCTGGCTTTGTACATGAGGCCTCTGACTTGCACAGGATCACTTATGCTGCCGCCCAGCTGGGAACCCTTTCCCAGGGAGGAGATGCCTCACCCCTGGGGCCTGCCCTCCTCTGAGTGTGGTCTTTCCCACAGGCCTCAGAACACTGCTGTTTAAAGCATTCAGATTCTCATAAAATCCCTCCAAAGTGCCCTTTATACACTGGTGACTTGCCCAAGATCACTTGTAAGTGGCAAAGCTGATACTCCAACCGGTTCTGCATCACTCCATCCCTTGGCCCCACAAAGCAGTGCTGTTGGGTCACCGGTCTGGGTCCCAGGCTCAGGTGCACTTCAGGCACTGAGTAGCAGCTCCCTGCATCCCAGGCAAAAGGCCTCCTGAGGGCCTGGTTCCACTCAGGCTCAACCCAGAAGTAGTGACCCTGGCTCCACTTGTTTTTATTTATTTGAAAGGAGGAATGAGGGAGAGGCAATGAAAGAGAGCTTCCACCAGCCGATTCAGTCCCCAAATGGCCACAACAGCTGGGGCTGGGCAGGGCCAAAGCCAAGAGCCAGGAGGAACTCCATCTGGGTTTCCCACGTAGGCCATCTTCCTCTACTGCCTCCCCAGGCACATTAGCAAGCAGCTGGATGGGAAGTGGAGCAGCAGGGATGCAAGCTGATATGGGTAGCAAGCTGCAGCTAGTCTGCTGTGCCACAGCGCTGGCCCCCAAAGTGGGTTTAAATCCCAGCTCCACCACTGTGAGACTTCAGGCAAGTCCTCCTTTCACCTCTCCATGTTTCAGATTCTTCATCAGGTAGGAATAAGATTCCCATCTCACAGAGTTGCAGTGCTGATTAAAGAATACAGTTCTGGGAGGGGCTGACACAGAAGCCGCCTGAGGAGGCTGGCATCCGACCCCTCCTTCTGTGGGGCCCTGGATCACACTCTCCCCCTGTTCAGTACCAGCCTCTGACCTCCTGGCCATAGCCCTGGAACCCTAGGGGCCAGGTCCCTGGGCCTCAGGTTTCTAACAGAGTCCCTGAGGCGTCTGAGGATGCCTCCCCAGACATAGCTCATCTTTCCCAGGTTATCTGACCCTTTCTGACTGTGGGTGGCACCTGCCAGGACCGAGTGGCAGCTGATTTCAGAATCAATTTGCTTGCTTGATATGCTATCTCGATTCCATTTAAGCAAGTGTTCAGTCCCCCCAGATAACACAATCAGTGCAGTCGACAGTGACGGGAGGCGCCCATTAGCTCTGCTCCACTGCTCAGCACCCACCTGGCAGCCGGTGGGAAGAGCAGGGCCCAGCATGGTCACTTCCTGAGACAGAGGACCTCTGGGCACTCCCTCTCCCAGGGAAGAGTCCCACAGGTACCTACCCCAGGAGCCACAGGCCACACCTCTTGTTGGGCAATCTTGGAAGGGGACATGTGAGAAGCCCATGTGAGCCCAGGGGGCTCCAGTTTACGTGGCCAGAAGGGCTCTTCTCTGAGATCAGTCTCAGATCACCTGGCAGAGACCCTGTGGCATCTGGGAGGGTGGGCAGACAGAGTGGCCCTGGCTGCCGTGTCACAGGCGCTGCCTGGCCCCTCCATCCCTGACTCAGACAGAAGACACAGGGCACTGGCAGGCCATCTGCTCTAGGGGGCATGAGGCCGGCCAAGCATCCTGTTTGGATGCTGTTATCAGTGCCTGGTGTGGAATGCCAGGGCACAGTTGGGCGGCTTTAGTAGGTATCACTACAGAGAGTGGTTGGGCCTGGTTTCCAGGGCATGGGGGTTCCCAGGCCTTTCTGACCCGGAGGAACTGACAGCCCTCCAACCTGTGCTAGCCTCCGCACCCCACCTTCCTCCCTCCTCCCATTTGTCTGACACATCAGAGCTGCCATGGGCTCCTGAGCAGAATGTGGGCCATCTGGCGCTTCCTCACGCCTGCCAGTCCACGGGGTGGGTGTGAGCCTGTGGAATGACAGCCCCACCACCAGACGTGCGGAAGAACCGACCTTCTCCGTGTGCACTCTGTTATCTCACCCTGGCTGTTTCCCTGCCAGTCCTCATGCAGCCATTTTGAGAGCTGTGAGGATTAGGGCTATCCTCCCAGCCGACTCGGAGCTGGCAGCGTTCTGTAGGAGCTGGATCTGGAGCCAGCATCCATTGACCTTTTCTTGGCAGTTAAGGATCGAGGGAGCCTAGTGGGCCACAAGTAGAATATGCATCATCTCCACAGCGCTGTGATTAGGTAAGTCAGCATCATCAAGAACAGGGCAATCTGTGCCTCACACCAAAGATAGCAAATAAGCTTCCTATTCTGTTACCTGACTGATGGGTTGCACCTGTCTGGGTAACTGTTGAGAAGGACTCTGGAGTCCTCCCATGGGGCTTCAGCAAGAAATAGCTAAAATTGATTAGCAATGTCTACTGTGAATTGTGGGAATTGTGGGGTGGGGCAGGAGGGTTGGGTAGCAAGTCAGACGTCCTTTTTTTTTTTTTTTTTTTAAGATTTATTTATTTATTTGAAAGGCAGAGTTACAGCTGGCTTCCAGATGTCGCTTCTTATCCTGTTTTAGACCCTGTCCTAGACAGACCCTGACTAGTGACATGAGAAAGAGAAAGGAAATTCAAGGAAACATCATATGGTGAAGGGAAATAATGTTATCTCAGTCAAGGGGGCAGATGAGAAAACTAAGGTTGAGGGAGTTTAGGGATTTTTGGTTTTGATTTTGTTTTCCTGAAGATTTGTTTTATTTATTTGAAAGGCAGAGTTACAGAGAAGGAGGGAGAGACAGAGGTCTTCCATCTACGGTTCATTCCCCAAATGGCTGCAATGTCCAGGGCTGGGCCAAGACAAAGACAGGAGCCAGGAGCTCCATCTAGGTCTCCCATGTGGGTGGCAGGGGGCCAAGCATTTGCACCATCATCTCTTGTTTTCTCAAGCACATTAGCAGGAAGCTGGATAGAAAGCAGAGCAGCGGGGACTGGAATCAACACTTCAATACGGGATTTGGGCAGTTTACCTGGCTGTGCCACAATACCTGCTCCTGGATCTGGGATTTGATGCCACATCTACCTAGCCCCAGAATCTGGCTGTTCCTACATTGCTCAGATTATGCTCTATAAGCACCATAAAACAGGAAGGGGGTGCCCCAACGCTTTGGTGCAGAGGATTAAACCACTTCCTGCAGCACTGGCATCCCATATGGGCCCCACTGGAATCCTGGCTGCTCCACTTCCAGTGCAGCTCCCTGCTAATGCACCTGGGAAAGCAGCAGAAGATGGCCCAAGTGCTTGGGCCCTGCACCCATAATGGAGTCCCAGAAAAAGTCCCTGTCTTCTGACTCTAGCCTGGCCCAGCCCTAGTCATTGCAGCCATTTGGGGAGTGAACCAGCAGATAGGAGATGTGTGTGTATGTGTCCCCTTCTCTCTGTAACTCTGCTGTTCAAATAAATAAATAAATCTTTAAAAAAGAGCAGGAAAGGGATGGAAGAAATGATTTTCTGAGAAGTGAAAGAAGTGGGACCTAATGGGATCCTAACAAAGAAGTCGTTGAGAAAATCTAAAATAAAATCCCGAGTATGTGAAGCATTTTCTAAGACTAAGGAGCGGCAGTTCACTGAGATAGGAAATGAGTTGATAGCCCTGTAATCGCAGACAGAAATTCATTATGGCAGGGGCCAGGACTCTTGCTCAAGTTCTCCTTTCAGTTCTTCAACTGGTTGTGTGACTTGGAGTAAGATGCTTCCTTTCTCTGGCCTATTTTCATTGAGCAACATTGGGGATGGCAAATATTTACATCCGGTACCAGGCATGGCTGCTTGGAATCTTGTGTTGAGAAGGATTCTGAGGCCAAATCTGAGTTTAGCTGGAAGTCATGCGATGATCAATTCATAATGTCTGCCTCTGGTGCTGGAGGAGAAAGGGTATCTCGTGTGCCATCCTTGAAGTATGCGATGTCACCTCACTTCCTGCTCTGAGATGCTATCGCTCCATGGTTCTCAACAGTGAGCACACTCCCTGAAGCTCTCTGTCAAAAGAGAGATGGATCTCCTGCTGCCTAGGCCGGCACGCCACTGCTCACTGTGGCGCAGAGGAGAACCTCTGATCATCTGTTATTATTTCAGGACTCTCCTCGGAGGCCCCAACTGTGGGGGAGGGGCAAGCCGCAGACATGGAGGACATGGATGGGGAGCTGACAGTGGCCCCCACACCTGAGCAGCCAGACCATGGTGTCCGCTTCGTCACCACGGCCCCCACCTTGAAGCTGCTCAACCACCACCCACTGCTGGAGGAATTCCTACAAGAAGGACTGGAGGCCGGGGAGGAGGAGCTGAGGCCGGCCCTACCCTTCCAGCCCGACCCACCTACACCCTTCACTCCAAGTCCCCTGCCCCGCCTGGCCAACCAGGACAACCGTCCCGTCTTTACCAGCCCTACGCCAGCCATGGCTGCAGCGCCCACTCAGCCCCAGTCCAGTGAGGGGCGCTGGAGTCTGCAGTCAGAGCCCCCTGGACTTCATCTCACAGCTCCCCTCCCGCCAGGGCCCAGCATGGCTGCACCCACTCTGGGCCCAGGGGCAAGGCCCAGTACCACACCCCCCAGCAGGGTGTGGACTCCTACCCAAGAGGGACCTGGAGACATGGGCAGGCCGTGGGCTCCAGAGCCCATGTCCCATACCACAGGGCTCGCAGTTAAAGGGACCATTGCCACCGCCACCGCTTCAGGGGATGATGAGGAGAGTACCACCACCACCACCATCGTCACCACCACCATCACCACAGTCCAGCCACCAGGTCAGCTCCCTGATGGCCGGCAGATCTCAAAGTGGGGGTGGGGTGGGGCAAACTACAGGGCTCCTGAAGGCCTCTGCCCTGAAACTGTGCTGGTCTGCCCAGCCCTTTGGCTCTCGGGGCCAGCCTGTGGGAGGTGCATGGACTGGAACCATGGATCCAGGCTCAGGCCAGAGCCTTTGTATGTGACCCGCCCCCAGCTATGGTGTTGAATCTCCTGGAGCCTTGAGCCTCATCTGTAAAGCGGTGATAAGAAAGCCCACCTCACTGAGCCATTGTGAGCCTGGAGATGAGATCCTACTCTGCAGGGGCTCAACAAAAGGCGACCCCTTCCTTTCAACAGGAGGACAGACGTCCCCAGGGTGGGCTTCACCACACAAACACACTGGATTCATTTCAGTGGGGCTGGACTTAACCTTTTGTCTCCTCTTGCTTCCCAGGCTCTTGTAACTGGAATTTCTCAGGCCCAGAGGGCTCTCTGGACTCCCCCGGAGGCCCCAGCTCACCCCCTGATGTCAGCCTGGACTGTTTCTACTACATCTCCGTCTACCCTGGCTATGGTGTGGAAATCAAGGTGAGCAACCTGGCTCCATGAGGGCCCAGCTGGGGCTGATGTGTTATGGGTTCCCAGAAAAGTACCTGCTATTGGGGGCGGGGCAGTGCTTCAGGCATCAGCTGGAGAGAGCCCATAGCCAGGGCTGGGACATGGGCCTAAAATCTGGTTGGATTCTCTTTGGTGCACCAGGGAGTGGGGAGGGTGATGCTCTCAGCCACCAATGCCCTAAGCCCAAAGGGGCTGTAGGAGGGACAAGTGTGCCCATCCTCTCCCTCCAGGGGTTTGGTCAGGGGCTCAGGAGAGCCTGAGGAGGGGGCTGTTGTCTTGGCTGTGCAGGGGATTGGGAGAGTGAATCCTGCCCCTCCCACTTCCCCAGGAGCCTCTGAGTCAAGAGCAGTCCCCTGGGACTATCTCCACATCCCCTCTGCACCAAACAGCTTGCAGCTGAATGAGCTGAACTTTCTTTCCCCAAGAGTCCCAGGTGCACCTGCTGCTCCCTCTGCCTGAAAGGGTCGGCCCACCCCACCCTCCCTGGGACTCACACCTGGCATCACTTTCTCTGGGAATTCTTTCCTGATCCCCAAAGCCCCTCATCTTAGCTCTGCTGTCTACCTGTCTGGTTATCTCCATCCACCTCCCTAGATAGACTGTGAGCTCCTGGAGGGTGCCTTGTAGGACAGGGCCCAGAACGGGGACTCCATGGACCCCCTTGAATGGGCAAAGGAATGGAGGAAGGAAGGGAAAAGTGCACTTGGCCTGGATTGTAGAGATTGACAAGATAGGGAGGAGGGGCATTCTGCCCAGCTGAGGGACTCGGGCAGGGGACTGAGGAGTCACAGGGAAGAGAGAGAGAGGAGGGGGGATATGTAGGACAGGACATAGCCGCAGCCCATGCATGCCCATTGTATCTGGCCCAGGAGCCCACTCCTCCTGGCTCTGGGCAGTGCTTCCAGCCCTTCCCTCTGGGACATCAGGTCCAGGTTCCTGAGCCAGGCCTGCGGACGGGAAACCTTCGCCTAGCCCTACAGGGTCCCTTCCCTTCCTTCTCTAACCATTTGCTCCTGCTCTGCCAAGTCCCGTGCCCCCTACTCTGGGCTGACTGCAGGGTAATTAGGAACAGCCACCCCCCCTCTCAAGCCATTAGCACTCAGCGCTGCTTAATTAAGGTAATTAATGTAAAATCATCACCTAATGAGAGGTGGCACCGGCTGTGGTTCACAGGGTGGAAGGCGCCAGCTGCAGGTGTGGGGAAAGAGGTGTGGGGGGCAGATGCCAAGCTAGATGCCCCCATGCAGGCCTAGGCTGGCTCCAACTGCCTCCCAAGCCTACACCCCCCACAGAAGGCCCGGGGGTATGGCTAGGCCTGGCCCTGGTACCCTCCACGGCAGGGGAAGGCTCTGGTTCTGCCTGTCCCTGACCTGGCCCAGGCACAAGCCCACCCTGGAAGCCCACCTCTTCCCAGCAGCCATGTGTGATGTCTGGGGTGGCCACTGTTTTTTCATCAGAATGCAAAAGCCGTTACCAGGCAACCTGGAGAGGAAGACCTGCCATGGCCTTGGATTGCTGTCAGGAAATATGGCAGATTCAGGCCCCAGCCTCTACCCTGGCACCATAGAGGCAGCATCCTTGGGGGCCTTATCACTCCTGCTGGCCTGAGAGGGTGGGGCCAGAGCTGGATGAGTGCCCAGTTTAGGGGGGAGCAAGAGAGTCAGCCAGGACTGAAGCAGGACCTAAGGTTCTTCTCCCTCCAGGGTCCGTTCCAGCAACTTCTGCCTCTACTTAGGCCTCCTGGTCACACCACCCAGGGCCACTTGGGACCTGGAGAATCACTGATACTGCAGACCAGTACCCACTGGATAGCTGGGAAAACTGAGGCCCAGTCAAGGAGAGGGGATTGCCTAATGTCACTCAGCTAATCACTAACTCATGGTTTTACATGAATGGATTTGTTCAGCAAACATAAATTGAGTGCTTACTGTGCACAGGGCACTGAGGACACAATCAAGTCACATTGGGCAGAGAGAGACAGAAATCATAAGCAAAGACCACAGAAAGGGACAGGGCTGGGAAGCCTTGGACTATGGAAATTCCAGGACAGGCGTCCCACCAGCCTCGACACCTGCTCTGGGGGAAATCAGCACGCAAGCCTGGGCTGAGGAGCAGCAGGTGTGGCAGGTCTGGCTGGCTGTTTTGCACAGGTGACTTTGTTGCATAGGAATGGGGGTGAGAGTGAGGCTTCCAGACTGTGCTTCTGCCAGAGCCTCTGCCTGAGAGAGACAGGCTGTGCTGGGCCTTGGGGGCTGCCCTCTGCTCCTCAGGCAAGGGGAGAGGGTGCTGCCTGTGGCTTCTCCCCACCGTGGATAAATCCCTGCCTGGTGCTCCGTGAATGCACCCCATCACTCAGGGTGGGTGGTTGGGAGGCGGTCTGGGGAAGGGGATAGGAGGGTCCATAGGACTATCTTAAGGACCCACAAATCACACACCTGAGGAGGTCAGCCAGGCCCTGTGCTGAGCCCCTGTCATGTGACTGCAGTGCTGTCCTGAAGTCTGGGGCTCCGTGCAAGACCCTCTCAATTCCCTTTTTGTTTGTTGAGGAGCAGCCTCAGGAGTATCAGCACCCCCAAAAGCCCAGTTCTGCACAGCTTGGGCCACAGCCCCTCATAACCTGCTGCTTCCCCTGCCTCCCACCTCCCGTCATGGGGCTGCAGCTGTGGGTTCCCTCTTAGGCTAAGGGTCCAAGCTACCCTCAGGGAGGCGGCCAGGTTGGGTTCCATAATCAGAGACGCTTGCCTTCTTCGCTTGGGAGTTGGGGCATTGGGGCAGGCTCTTCCGCTCTTTTTTTTTTTTTTTTCTGACAGGCAGAGTGGACAGAGAGAGACAGAGAGAAAGGTCTTCCTTTGCCGTTGGTTCACCCTCCAATGGCCGCTGCGGCCAGCGCGCTAATCCAAAGCCAGGAGCCAGGTGTTTATCCTGGTCTCCCATGGGGTGCAGGGCCCAAGGACTTGGGCCATCCTCCACTGCCTTCCCGGGCCACAGCAGAGAGCTGGCCTGGAAGAGGGGCAACTGGGACAGAATCCAGCGCCCCGACCAGGACTAAAACCTGGTGTGCCAGTGCCGCAAGGCGGAGGATTAGCCTATTGAGCCGTGGCGCTGGCCTTCGTTCTTTCTTTTTTAAAGATTTATCTATTTGAGAGGCAGAGAGAGAGAGAGAGAGAGAGAGAGAGAGAGAGAATCTCCCATGCACTTGCTCATTCCCCAAACAGCTGCAACAGCCGGAGCTGGGCTGATCCAAAGCTAGGAGCCAGGAGCTTCTTCTGGGTCTCCCATGTGGGTGCAAGTGTATTAGTAAGAAACTGGATTGGAAGTGGAGCCGCAGGGACTCAAGCTGGCACCCGTATGGGATGCTGGTGCTGCAGGCAGTGGCTTCGCCTGATAAGCACAGCAAGCAGGCCCTGGGCTGGGCTGTCTCTTGGGAAGTCCAGAGAAGCCCCTTCAGAATGGGTGAACATAGCCCTAAGGCCCAGGTGGATCCCACCACCCTCTCCCCAGGCAGCCAGGCTCCCCCAGAGGGCTCCGTGCCTTTCTGGGTCTGGCGCTTGCCTCTCCACTGCACTTGGCATTCCAAGAGCCTTCCCACTGCCAGGCTCCATCTTGGCTGGGTTGCTGTGTGTGCCATCTGGAGCCTGGGCACAGCTGCCCACAGTCCTTGCCCTCATGCCCCAGGTGGCCCCTTGTCACACAGCTCTCCCATACCAGGCCAGCTGTCACTTTGATGGCCAGAACACCCTGCCCTTCTAAGCTGGGTCTGGGCCAGGCCTGATGCAGCATCAGGAGTGGGGTGGTAGGCCTGTGGGGTGGCATTTCCGGGAAATGTCTATTTTCTGGCTTCAGGAAAGCCCATCTGAGGGAGCTGGCAGGAGCACAAATGGGTTTGGCCCCATGGATTTAGGCCTTTCCTCCCCATCTCTAAAAGGCCTTACCCCAGAAGACGGTCTGGAGGGCCTGATCAGAAAGGCAGAGGTCTGGCATATAGGACTGGGGCTCCAGTGCTGGCTCTGCAGCCCACCTCTCAGTGACTGGGCCAAGCCCTTGGGCTTCTCTGGGTCTCAATTCTCCCCCTATAAAAGGGGTTTGAACCCCATGATGCACAAGGCTGCTCCCAGCTGGTCCCTCTGCATGTACCTCTTGCTCTGGGTTCAGGAAGTCTCACCAGCCCGAGTGAGCACTGGCACTTCAAGCTTCGGCCCTACTTCCTGGCACAGTGCTTCCCAGGCAGAGCCCTGGCAGAGGGAGGTAGGTACAAAGCCAGTTGCCACCGAGGCAAATGCCAAGGTTTTCCTAACATAGGGCCCAGGATAGAGGGCAGCAACTCTGCTCAGCCCCTTACAGCCAGGATCTAACTTAATCCTTATATGACATGGTGACATTATCTGCATTTCACAGGCAGCCAGGGCCTGTCTCAGAGGTCACATGACTTACCCGAGATTCCTCAACCGGCTCGTGATGGAGCTGGGACTGGAGCCCAAGGCTAAGCAGGAGACTGGCCTGAGTGTGGCGCAGGGCAACGCCAGAGCAGGGATGGATGGCTTTCTGTCCTCACTCCACCCCAGCCCCTTTGCTCAGCCAGCCTGGTCTGCTCCTGGAGTTCTCCCAGTTCTCCTCTGCACTCCCAGGTCACATCCTCCACTGCCATCCTCCACTGCACTCCCGGGTCACAGCAGAGAGCTGGACAGGAAGAGGAGCGACTGGGACTAGAACCCGGGGTGCCGGCCGGCGCCATAGGCGGAGGATTAGCCTATTGAGCCACGGCGCCAGCTAAGTTCTCCCAGTTCTGAAAACAGAGCATTGGGCCAGGAATCATGGTTCCTGGGCCAGAGTCCAGTTGAGCTTGGTCTCCCTATGGGACCAAAGGTGATCTCTGCTCTCTGATCTCAAGGGGCCCTTAGCCGCACAGCTGGGTTAACGCAACCTTCCCTGCCTCACTTACTGACATCTCATTGCAGAAACTGCCAAGGGCCTGGGGAGGGGGGTGGACAGTACGCTTGTCCAACTGCTGGGGTGCAGGGGCACACACATGTGAGGGGCAATGTGTGTGAAGGTGCACTTGTGCCAACACGTGTCTGAGAGGGCTGCATGCCTGCAAGTGGGTCTGTGTCAGAGGACATACATGCAGCTGATGACCAGGAAGTCTAGTCAGGCAGTGGTCAGCACCTGGACAAGGGTGGCAACAGCACTCAGGAGCCATCCCTGAGCTCACCCACCTTTGCACAAGCGTGTGCAGTAACTAGCGCCATCTCACCCATGGGTCATCCCAGAGGGATGGTGCTGGGGATCTGACAGGCAGCTTCCACAGGGGCAGTGACACACAAGGCCACGTGCCAATTCCTCCCCCACTCCTGCCCTTGTAAGCGGCCGGGTTCCTTCCTGGGACTGAGGCTGTGGGCTGCATTATGAGATAGCCCGGGATCCTGTGGAAATTGTCCTCGGCTCCCCGGCTTCTGTCTTCCCCCTCCCTTGCCCCAGGCCCCCTCCTCTGGCTGGCTAGGGGTATGGGAAGACAGTCCTCATGAACAGAGCTGACATTTCAATCTGTCTCCCAGGCGCTTCAGCTGCCTGCAAATTGCATCAAGACTTCATCAGCCCCCTTGTCGGACACCCAGCTCTGTCTGGCCCTTGTCAGCCTGGCCCTCAAACAAGTGACAAATTACATACCAGCCACTGCAGCAGGCCTGCAACTGGGTGCTTAAAACCCAAGGGACCAGAGCTGCCCAGGCAGCTTCTGGCTGAGAACAGAGGCCTGTCTGCATGGGAGCCAGGCCACCATGAAGGAGTCGTGCCTCCCCCAGACCAGAAGGAGCCACAGGTTCTCAGCTCCCTTATTCCCAGCTTCGTAAGATGCATGGTGGGGAAGACAGACTTGTGGGAATTCAAGTCCTAGCGTCTTGAGAAAAAGCTAGGCCAGGGCAGGATCCTCCTCTCTGCTACACCCGTGGGCCTGGAGCCTGGAAATCTATTTCTGCAGGAGATGCTGCCGTGAGGTTGAGAGGGGAGGGAGCTGTCTTTGCCTTTGGCGAAGCAAGAGAGGGTCTCTTAATAGCTGGTGACCTTTTGTGAGTTCCTTAGCTTCTCGGAGCCTCTGTTTACTATGGGGATTTTGGCACCTACCTTATAGAATTGGGGGAAGATGAAAGCGGATGCCTAAAGCATGGAGTACAGGAGCACAAGGCTTGACACATTGTAGGTGTTCTGAGAGCGGTTGGGAGTGCTGCTGCTGCCGCCACCACTACCAGCAAGCCAGCAAGATCGGGAGCAGGGAGCCAGAGGTCAAGCTAGAGGTGTATGGGGAACTGGGAAGAAAACAGTGAATTCAGCACTCCTCTGCCTTTGCCTTCCTAGTGACTGCCCTGCAGTGAACGTGCTCCCTCCCTCCCCCTCCCTCCTCCCTTTGCTCTGAGCCCCACCTGCTCCAAGTGCTTCCCCAGAGTCTCCAAGCCCTGGGCTGTCCCCTCCAGGATTCCTGCTGCACGCATTCGGTTCCACTTAAGGCGGAATTACATGCTGCCTGGCGTTTCTGGGTAATTACAGATTCCACGTGTGTGAGCCTTGTTTCCCCAACTCTAGAATCACAGAATCTCCAAGTTGGAAGGGACCTCATCCGGCCTCCGCCTGCTGCAGGAATTCCCTGAGGAGCGTCCCCAGCAGATGGTCAGGGAGCCGCCACCCAAACAGGCCAGGCGGGCGGGGCGCTCCTTGCACAGAGGAGGCGCTTCTGCCCCCAGGGCCCTGCCTGGAGCCTTCTCATCAGCCCCCCAGATTCTACCAGGTCTCACCTCCCTGCCCAGCTCTGCCCTTGGGAGGCCCCAGGACACATCTGTTCTCAGCACCTACCCTCAGAGGGGCCCTGAGCCTGTAGCTGTCCTCTCCTTGGTCTTGGTGTGGCATCTGCTATACTTCTCTGCTCATGGCGGCCCACACATTCACTCTCCACTTGTTTAAAAAATTATTTTTAAATTTATTTATTTGAAAGGCAGAGTGACAGAGGGAGAGATGCAGAGAGAGAGATTTTTCATCCGTTGATTCTCTCCCCAAATGACCATGACAGGAGGTCAGGGGCTGAAGCCAGAAGCCAAGAACCCTATCCATGGATGATAGGGTCCCAAGCACTTAGGCCATCCTCCATTGCGTTCCCAGACACATTAACAGGGAGCTGCATTGGAAGTGGATCAGCCGGGGCTTGAACCAGAGCCCCAGTATGGGGCTTGCGCCGCAACAGAGGCCCTTTCCACTCGTCTTTATTAAGACTGGCCAGTGACAAGGGCCTTGTGGCCCAAATGGCCACAGCAGGCTTTAATAGCGAGATGAGTGAGCACCTGTGGGGAGAACCGGGGGCAGAGGGACTAGCAAGTCTCACCTGGCAAGCAGAGGACAGTGGCCCTGAGATCTCACAGGGTGACCGGCCACCCCAGGAGAAGCCCCTGTGACAGTGCCCAGTGGCTGGGCGGGAGGGGCATCTGTGAGTGCAGTGCAGGTGAGGGGGGCTGGCAAAGTCACTGGAGCCAGCCGTGGGCTGGGAAGTTTAGTCGTCGTCATCTGGGCGAGCTGAAGCCACCAGCAGGGTTTGGGTAGAGCAGAGACATGATTTTCTCTGGGGCAGCCAAGGCCTGGAGCTGAGCTGGGGAGGGAGGGATGAGACAGATGGTTGGAAGGCCATTCTCAGGAGAGGAACAATGGGCAGGAGGTGATCGGGAGCCAAGACAGCAACAAAGAGAGGAGGAGCCAGCTGGAACATTTGGGAGATAAGTTTGGGGAGGATTTGGTGGCTCACTGGATTGCACTGAACTGGCCCCACTGTTAGCCCTTGGAGGCCCTGCCTTGTAGCAACGTGGTGGGCACATGGGAGGGCACAGGGATCAGGGCGTGGAGCTTCCCAGGGCTCTTGTTAAAATGCAGGCTATGGCCGGCGCCGCGGCTCACTAGGCTAATCCTCTGCCTGTGGCGCCGGCACACCGGGTTCTAGTCCTGGTCAGGGAGCCGGATTCTGTCCCAGTTGCTCCTCTTCCAGGCCAGCTCTCTGCTGTGGCCCGGGAGTGCAGTGGAGGATGGCCCAAATGCTTGGGTCCTGCACCCACATGAGAGACCAGGAGAAGCACCTGGCTCCTGGCTTCGGATCAGCGTGGTACACCCGCTGCAGTGGCCATTGGAGGGTGAACCAATGGTAAAGGAAAACCTTTCTCTCTGTCTCTCTCTCTCACTGTCCACTCTGCCTGTAAAAAAAAAAAAAAAATTAAATTAAAAAAATAAAATGCAGGCTATGATTTAGGCAGTCTGGGGCGGGATCTGAGACTGCTTTTCCTATGAGCTCCTGGTGATGCTCATATTGCTGGTCCAGGGACCACCTTTTCAGCAGCAAAGATCTATTCAAGGCATTTTCTAAAACAAGGAAACAGAGGCCTATATAGTGAGCGTACTTGTCCAAGGCCATGTGGTTAGGAGGGGACTCCTGGCATCTGGGCTCCCGAACCAGCACTGCTTCCACCTAGCCATACTGCCACTTGCTCTCTGGTTCTTAGATTGCGTGGAGGCAGGGAGACCAGAAGTGTGCTCTAGGACCGAGGACAGAAGAGCCCACAACAGCCAGGGGGAGGTATTGGAGCAAGAGGTCTAGAGCAGGGAGAGAGAGGAGGGATTTGCAGCTGCCATGTGGAGGGGCATAGTGTGGGGCCAAGGTGAGCAGTCAACAGGGGCCACACAGGACACGGCCTTGAGGGCCAAACAAGGAGCTCGGGTTAGATGCTGCAGGTTTCATGGATTGCACAAGGCCATGCTGGTCAGAACTGGCAGCAGTTCAGAAAACGTGGATGTAGGGGTCAGGGCTGTTGCGTAGTAGGTTAAGCATCTACCTGTGGCACCGGTATCCTGTATGGGCACCTGTTGGAATCCTGGCTGCTCCACTTCCGATCCAGCTCTCTGCCATGTCCTGGGAAAGCAGAAGAAGATGGCCCAAGTCCTTGGGCCCCTGCACCCACATGGGAGACCCAGCAGAAGGTCCTGACTCCTGGCTTTGGATCAGCACAGCTTTGGCTGTTGTGGCCAACTGGGGAGTGAACAAGCAGATGGAAGACCTCTCTTTCTGTCTTTCCCTCTCTCTGTCTATAACTCTGCCTCTCAAATAAATAAATAAATCTTAAAAAAAAAAAAAAAAAGGAAAGAAAAGAAAAGAAAGCATGAATGTGCAGGTAGAAGCCGAGCCAGCCCGGTAGGCAGGGCGGTATGGGGGGGCTTCTGCATCCATCCAGCGATGATGGCCAGGAGCTGCGGGTGGAAGTGGCAAGAGTAGTGAACAGACGTGGGATGCCATTAACAGATTGAATGACAGACTGGATGTGGGGCATGACAGAGGAGGCAAGATGGCAGCTTCTGACTTGGGGGCCCTGGTGAGTAGTAAGGGCATTTCCTGAGATGGGAGCCAGGGGAGCTGCTGGCTTGGGGAAGAGGGTGGCTGAGCGTGAGGCACGCAGCAGAGAATGGCCAAGGAAAGCCGGGCACATGGCTTCAACGCTCAAGACCTCACACTGTTCTAGCTCAACCTACTGACCCCACCTCTACTTCATGGATGAGAAAGCTGTGCCCAGGGAAGGGAAAGGACAGAAAACCGCTGATGGACATATAAAATGTTCGACACAGAGAAAGATGTGCTTTCAAATCCCATGTCTGCCAATAATCTCTACAGGACCTTGGGTAACTTTCCAAATGTCTCTGAAGTTCAGGTCCCAGCTCGCAGGGATAAACTGAGCTCCTGCTGCACTGACGTGACCAGCTCGGGGCCTGGGGCTGTCATGGCCTGCGGGAGCCTCAGACAGCAGCAAGTCTGACTGCCCTGCTCTTCTCTCTGATCCCCTGGCAGGTCCAGAACATCAGCCTCCGGGAAGGGGAGACCATGACTGTGGAGGGCCTGGGGGGCCCTGACCCATTGCCCCTGGCCAACCAATCTTTCCTGCTTCGAGGCCAAGTCATCCGCAGCCCCACCCACCAAGCAGCCCTGAGGTTTCAGAGCCTCCCACCACCTGCTGGGCCTGGCACCTTCCATTTCCACTACCAAGGTAAGGGCAGCTGAGGGAGGAGCCTCCTGGGGGTGCAGCGGGGCCATGGTCTCTGGTGCCCATTACAGGTGCACAAGAAGGGGCTAGCAACTAGCACCACCAGCACAGGTGCCCAGTGGGGCTCAGAATGACCCAAGGGAAGTCTTGCCTATCTGACACCTCTGGATCCTCCTGTCTCTACCCACCACCCCACAGAGCGCTGATTTTGACTCAGGGTCAGGTAGCCCCAAGATGTGCCGCCTGTCACTTACTCATTGATTCATTCAGTAAGTTCTGCTAAGTGCCTGCTGCTTGCCAGGCCTGTGCTGATCACTGGAAGTATCAAGATGAACCAGCTAAGTGAGTTCAGGGTCATCAGAGGACACAAACATTTAAACAGGCCATAGCAATAGGCTCTTTCCCCAAATGCAAGGCGGCAAGGTCAAAGAGGCTTGACTGTGACAAGTCAGGTCTTCAGCTGCCAGCCTGGACTCAGCCTATGCGCCAAGGTAGCTTGGAACACCTCTGGGAAGGTGGCATGATGGGAAGTCACAGAACTGCAAAGGGCAGGTCTGTGTATCTTCTCACTGGTTACTGACCCTGGACAGTTTGACCTCTCTGGCCCTCCTTTTCCTCTCTGTAAGATGAAAGCAAAATGCTCATCCCACAAAGTCAAGGTCAGAATTAAACAAAACAGTGCCTGGCCGGTGCTCAGCATTATCTCCATTAAGGACACTGACACTGAATGGGATGGGGATGGGAAAGAAAGGGGCCTTGAACTCTGCTGCTCCCCTTGGTTTCCCTCCTGCCCACCCACCTTTCTGACACAAAGGCAGCTTGAGCTTCTACTTGGGTTAACTGGGGCGGGCTAATAGGGAAGTAATCTGTGTGAACAATCATGGGATTGTCTGCATTGTCATGGACCACCTTGGCAGCTCTGCAGGGGGCAGGCACACAGGAAATGGGGGTGCTTGGAGCCCCACCTAAGTAAACCACGTGTCCCACCTTGGTCTCTCCACCCGCACTGGGGAGCCCTGTGGTAAGGCAGCAGGGATCCTGGCCATGGACAGGGGTTGCACAGGAGGTTGGCAGGGACAAGGGAGAGGTGGGGACAGGGGTGAGTATCTAGGCAGCCGGGCCAGCCTCCTGAACCGCTCATCAATCGTCCCGGCAGCCGGCATGATTTCACGCCACGGTAACCTTCTCTTGCTGCAAATTCCTTTGCACAAAACTCCAGACTCCGCCTCTGTGGGCCCAGACAAAGGTGGCTGAATGGCAGCGCTGGAGGCCAGGCAAGGGGGAGCAGACCCAAAGGAGAGGCTGGGAGAGCTGGCCCAGCCCTGCCTCCTTTTCCGCTCCCAGAAGCCCTCCCTCTTCGGCCCAGTTTTTGTCAATGATCAGCTCTTTCCTTAATGAGTGTAATTCCCCTAATTATAGGCTGTAATTAGCCCTGATCCCAGAGATGGGAACAGGAGGAGCGTGTGCTCACACGCGCGTCTCTGTGGGCTGGAGAAAGAGGGTGCCAGGAGAAGGGGTGAGGGGCTTGGTACCCATTCTGGGTGGGAGCTGTTCAAGCTGCTGTTGCAGGTCACCAGGATGGCCCCCATAAGGGTCTCCTGGAAGGACCAATATCCAACTCCCCTCCCACAGGCTCAGGCATAGTGGGGAAGGCAGAGGGCCCTGACAGGCATCCCCCTCCTCCATCCTGAACATTCCTGGCACTGAACTTGGCCCCAGAAACAGACGCCAGTGAGAAAATAACTCGACAGATTGCAGTGGAGCGGGCGCTCCGGGAACGGTTGTCATGGCAACAGGAAGAAGCTCATCCTGGGAAGTGGCACTTTATCCACCACGGAGTCCAAGTCCAGGGCCTTCGTCCTCTGCCCCCAGCCTCCTGCCTTCACCATGTCCAGGCCCAGTTTCCTCATCTGTGAAATGGGGCCTCCCCTCCCAGAGCTGTGTTCAGGACTGAGAGGGAGTTACAGTGCAGGGACTACATCTCCCTGGGTGTCTGCAAGGTGCCCAGCCCCTTCCACTCTGCCCCACACTCTTCTCCCCATCCCTTCCCGGCCGAAGGCCTCTCCCCAGATCAGCATAGAGGGCGCCAGCCGCGACCGCCCAGGGCAGGCTTGGCTGCTCTCTCAGGTTTCTCTGACCCCCAAACCCAGATTAAATCTTAAAAAAAGATTTATTTATTTATTTATTTGAAAGAATTACAGAGAAACAGGGTGGGGGGGATCTTCCATTCATAGGTTCACACCCTGGATGACTGTGAAGTCCAGGCTGAAGCCAGGACCTGGAGCTTCTTCCGGGTCTCCAGCATGGATAGCAGGGACCCAAACACTTGGGCCATCTTCAGCTGTTTTTCCCAGGCCATTAGCAAGGATTTATCTTATTTATTTGAAAGGCAGAATTACAGAAAGAGAGAGGGAAAGAGATTTTCCATCTGCTGGTTCACTTCCCAAATGGCCTCAACAGCCAAGGCTGGGCCAGGCTGAAGCCAGGAGCTTCTTCCAAGTCTCTCATATGGGTGCAGGGTCCCAAGCACTGGGGCCATCTTCCACTGCTCTCCCAGGTACATCAGCAGAGAGCCGGATCAGAAGTGGAGCAGCCGGGACTTGAACCAGCATCCAAATGGGATGCCAGCACTGTAGACGGTGGCTTAACCCCTTATGCTGCAGCGCCTGCACCTGGACCCAGATTTCTACCTCAACTAGGGCAGCAGGGGGCAGAGTAGGAGGGAGAGCAAAGGACTTTAGAGCCAGGAGTTCCAGCTGTAGCTCTACACTTCCTGCTGTGTGGTGAGGCAGAGTCTCTCTGAAGCTTAACTTTCTGCACCTGAAAATCAGCTAGTACTCTCTGCCCTCCCATCCTTCTTCCCACGCATAGTGCAGACACCAAGTAAGAGGAGCGGGGAGACTTTAGAGCTGAAAAGTGCATGAGGCTACAAGGGGCTGTTATGACCCAAGACCATCACCAGTAGCAGTGGGCTGGTGTGTGAGGTGTTTGTTCCAGGTGCCCCGCCATTTGACCTCCACAGCATGGGGTACATAGAGAATTTAGGTGGCTTGCCCAAGGTAGCACAGCGAGTACCCGAGCCTGCATTCAAGCCCAGGCAGTCTGACCCCAGAGTCCACCTCCTGAGCACCGTCCATTGTTGTCTGCCAGTCACGATTAGCCCTTCAGTGGCCATTCCCTCAAGGACCCTTTGCGAGAGGAGTAGGAATCATCTCCTACATTCAGATACGAAACTGAGGCCAGGATGAGTGCAAGTCACAAAACTCGTTTCTGGACCTTGGTCTGCCCAGAGGCAGCCCCTTCGCTATCCACAGGAAGGAGGTAAAAACCATTAGAGACCCTGCTGAACCTACCCCAGCAGCCTGGTGTGCTCAGTGAGGGTGGCCCTCTGCTCCCAGACCCAGGTTCCTCAGTCTAGACAGTCCCCATCCCTCCTACCATCCCAAGGTTGGCAAGTCCTGTAGCCCAAGCCTTCTCAGCCTCTCTCCTGATCCCTCCAGGCCTTCTTTCCCACCTCTCAAACCCAAGGCAGGATCCCCACACCAGCTCAGTCCCAGGCTTACAATTTGCCCAGCAGTTTTGTAGGATTTGCTGCCACCATTCGGTCATACTTGGTATGACAACTCCAAAAGCTACGGGTTTCCCAAAGCAACTTGTCCCTCACCCGGCTTCCAGCAAGGCAGCCCCTGCCTCCCCACTCTGGCCCCATCCTGGTTGTAAAAGGAGTCCACAGCCCTTGCCAATCAAGTTTTTCAACATGCCTCAATGAATTCTGGGGAAAGTTTTTTAAAAATTACTTATTTATTTGAAAGGCAGAGAAAGAGTGATCATCCTCTGGTTCACTCCCCAGATGTTCATGACAGCCAGGGGTGGGCCAGGCTAAACTCAAGAGCCTGGGACTCCATCCGGGTCTCCCACATGGGTGGCAGGGACCCAAGTACTTGGGCCATCAGCTGCCACCTCCCAGGGTGCCCGTTAGCAGGAAGCTGGAGTCAGGCTCTGCATGAGTAGAGTGTGGAGCCTCCAGGCAGGCCAGCAGAATGCTGACAGGCCTCTCTCCGTCCCACACTGACCGCACTCCCATCACACACAGGGTCACCCATTCTCTCTTTGCAGCTTATCTCCTGAGCTGCCGCTTCCCCCAGCGTCCCGCTTACGGACATGTGACTGTCACCAGCCTCCACCCTGGAGGCAGTGCCCGCTTCCACTGTGCCACTGGCTACCAGCTGAAGGGCGCCAGGCTCCTTACCTGTCTCAATGCCACTCAGCCCTTCTGGGATTCCCGGGAGCCTGTCTGCATCGGTGAGTGGCCCTAGGGGAGAGGGCTCAGAGCTGGGGGCAGGATTGTGGGGGAGGGGGGTCTTACCCCTGCCCTCTGTTACTGTCTGGCTCTTTCATTTGTTCTCCATAAGGGAGCCAGAAAAATGGTCACACATCTTAGTGGCATCCACCTAACCTGCACTTATTGAGCACATACTATATGGAGGCACAGAACTGAACTAAACAGATTCTGCCCTCAAAAAGCCCACAGGTCTGGGAAAGGCGGGGAGAGAAAGCACACAGGTCACCAATTGCCAGGGACAGGAAGATAAAAAGTCCCAGGGAAGAGACCTCAAGTGAGCTGGGAGGGGAGCCAGCAATCATTCTTCTTAAAAATTATTTTTAAAATTTGCTTTCCTTTAATTCGGGAGACAGACACAGGGAGATCTTCTACCTGTTGTTTCATTCCTCAAATGCCCACAACAGCCACGACTGGACCAGACTCAACCCAGGAGCCCAGAACTCAGTCCAGGTCACCATGTGGGTGGCAGGGACCCAACTACCTGAGCCATCATCTGGGTGATGCCTCACAGGGTGCACATTCAGCAGGGAGCTAGAATGGAGCGGGAACTCAGACCCAGGCACTCGGATATGGAATGCAGGCATCCCAAGTGGTGTCTTAACCCTTGCCCCAAATGCCTGCCCCTGAAGCTTTTGTTCTTCAGGGGGCATTTTAGGAGGCTTCCTAGGAGAGGTGGCACTGATGGTTTGGAGGGAACAGTGTGGACAGAGGCAGGACAACGAGGATGCTCAGGGACATGGAAGACAGCCCGATTTGGCTGAAGCCTGAGACACGTGGAGAAGGCAGTGGGAGGGCCCTGAATGCCATTCCAAGACGAAGTGGGAAGCTGTTGAAGGTTTCTGAGAGGAGGAGCATGGAGCTGGGGACTTTTCGTTAGGACTTAGCCAGGTGGTGTCTGAAGCTAGGAGCCAGCCAGGCAAGGAGGTTTGAACTTAGATGGGGACTTTGGGAATGGAGTAGAGGGAAGAAGTTCCAGAGACACCCATGAGGCAAAGGGGGTGAGTGGAGGAGGACTCCCAGGTCCTGGTCTGGGGCTGTGGCAGGAGGAAGTGGGGAGGGGCCGGCATGCAGTGGAAGAGGCGGCTTGGGCTTTTTTTCTTTTCTCTTTTGCAGGGTGGGTGGGAGTGAGAGGGCTTGGGCTGTTGCATTTTATTTCATTCTGTAATCTCTTCCTGGGCGCCAGTCACAGCCAGAGATGGGTAAGGCAGATGTGCTCTCTGCCCTAGGGACTCTGTCTGGTGGGAAGACTGGCAACAGCTCTCTGCAGAGGAGCCTGTGGTGGGTCAGCTTGGGTGCTGGGGGCAGGGGGGGTGGAATCCAAGGCCAGAGGAGCTGCTCCAAAGCCAGGGCTTCCTGAGGACGGGGCTGGGAAGGGTTACTGAAACATTAGACTGAGGCAGCGTGGTGGGTGCACAGGCCCTGAGTCCAGCGAGTGGGATTCATAAAGGACTTGAATGTCACTTTGAGCTGGAACTCTCTCCCGAGGGTGATAAGGAGCTACGGAGGAACTGGAAGCAAAGGATGGGGCGTGAGGAGACTTAAAGGGCAGTTCCGTTCCATTCCACGCATAAAGCTAGGTCTGCCCTCTCTGCAGAGAAGCAGGAGAGAGACTCGCCCCAGGCGCCAGTAGCCTGGTTCCTGGTCCTGGCGGCATGGCCTCTGAGTGCTAGGTGAGTTCAGGAGAGGATCACACCTCCTGGACCCCACCGCCCTCCTCTGGCTTGGGGGCCCTTCTCTGGCCCCACTTAACTGCTAGGAGCTTGTGACCGAATAACCCAGAAATCCTCACTCACGGGCACAGGCAAGCCGCTCAGCCTCTCCTTGGAAAGAAAGGACAGTCCCAAAACAGGAGTCAGCAATGGAGAGGCCCTCAGGGGTCAGAAATACCCGGACCGCTACTTCGGAACGTGTCCAAGGCCGTGGGAGGCTGGCAGTGTTGTCTGCGAAAGGCACAAGCTTTCAGGTGTAGACGGCTCACACATCAGGCGCTCATCGCCCTTGATCTGGTCCTGCCCCCTGTGAAGTCACTCCTGCTCCACTCCCACTCTGTGCCCTGCCCAGGGAGTCCTCATTAAAGGACACAGCCAAACCAACACCTGGCTCTAGGCAAAATACTTGAGGTTGTGGGTGGGCCCTAGAAGGGCGGAGCCCCGAGTAAATGCGCTTCAGTAAGGTTGGCCTGGCTGGCACCAGGGAAGGCCTTCCACAGGAGGAGTCAACAGAGAGGGAAAGTGACTTGCCCCGCCCCCGGCGGTGACCAACAGTCCTGAGGAGTGAAAGGTTGGGAGGTAGGATCCTGGAGTCCAGGCTGCCTAGAGCTCAGGGTCGCAGGGCCAAAAGATGGACCTCAGGACCACGACAGCAAAGACGGCAGACAGCCAAAGGTCCCTGCTGCCCTGGGCAGAGGGCACAGGGCTGGGTTAGGGAGGCAGGCTTATTGGGCTGCCCGGGGTCAGGCCAGCTGCCATTAGTCCCATGCCCCTGTGTCCCAGCTGCCTGTGGTGGAGTGATCCGCAACGCCACCACTGGCCGCATCGTGTCTCCCGGCTTCCCTGGCAACTACAGCAACAACCTCACCTGCCACTGGCTGCTTGAGGCTCCAGAGGGCCAGCGGCTACACTTGCACTTCGAGAAGGTTTCCTTGGCGGAGGATGACGACAGGTGAGGGCTGTCCTGGCAGGGAGGAGGGGGTATCTGGCTTGGCGACACTCCGTCGGAGGGACGCTACCCGAGCCAGGGGCCACACTCCGCTGGGCCAGCCACCAGCCACACAGCTGCTACTCTCCTGGCCCAGGCTCATCATTCGTAACGGAGACAACGTGGAGGCCCCACCTGTGTACGATTCCTACGAGGTGGAATACCTCCCCATCGAGGGCCTGCTCAGCTCTGGCAGACACTTCTTTGTGGAGCTCAGTACTGATAGCAGCGGGGCGGCCGCAGGCATGGCCCTGCGTTATGAGGGTGAGCTTGCTGGGACCTAACAGGGCAGGGGGAGCAGACTTGGGACTGGCACCTCCCCCTTTCCGCCTCTACTCTATCATGGCTTCCAAGCCAGCCCCTGCTCACAGCACCTTGGCCCCCTCTCGCTGCCCCTCCTCTTGGGTCCAGGGTTCCTGCCCCATCTTTTCAGGAAACCCAAGCTAGGACCCAGGCCTTCTGGGTCAAGGGAATGAATTTGAAAAGCTCCAAGCCCTTTTTAGGGAATGAGAATTGCTATAAGACAGTGCAGAACCATTTGTGTATGCATATGTTCATGCAAAATAAATAACATCAACTGAGCACCTTTTGTGCACTTAAACACAAAACCAGGCACCAGAGATACAAAGACCATCAGCCAGGTCCCTGAGCCTAACAGGGGTGGATGCTCTGGGCTGTCCCTGCACACACACACACACACACACACACACACACACACCCCAGCTCAGGACATTCGTCTTCAAAAGCAGGAAGGCTGTGGGGAGGGGAGTAGGAGGACGCCTGTGCCCTGTGTTGACCCGGGGGAGGCTGAGCCAGGCGGGGCCTGTGGTTTACAGCCTTCCAGCAGGGCCACTGCTATGAGCCTTTTGTCAAATACGGCAACTTCAGCAGCAGTGCGCCCTCCTACCCTGTGGGTACCACTGTGGAGTTCAGCTGTGACCCTGGCTACACGCTGGAGCAGGGCTCCATCATCATTGAGTGTGTCGACCCCCACGATCCCCAGTGGAATGAGACAGAGCCTGCCTGCCGAGGTCAGTGAGCGCTCTCAGAACCTGGGGCTACAGGGGCCCTGTGACACGAGTGACTTGGGTTTCCCCTGGGTGGGGTGGCTCCCAGCTTTGTGTGGGCACCCCTCGGGCAGGTAGCAGCCCCAGGACGTGGTATTGGGAGGGGGAACATAGAGGGGATGCACCTCCCGGGCCTCCCCTGCCTTCCAGCCGTGTGCAGCGGGGAGATTACAGACTCAGCCGGCGTGGTGCTCTCCCCGAACTGGCCAGAGCCCTACGGTCGTGGGCAGGACTGCATCTGGGGTGTGCACGTGGAAGAGGACAAGCGCATCATGCTGGACGTCCGAGTGTGAGTGCCTACCGGGTGAGGCCGAGGCAACTCCTGAGGTCTGGGGCCCCGGCCGGCCTACCCTGACGGTCCTCCTCCACAGGCTGCGCATAGGCCCTGCTGACGTTCTTACCTTCTACGACGGCGACGACCTGACAGCCCGGGTCCTGGGCCAGTACTCAGGGCCCCGGGGCCATGTCAAGCTCTTTACCTCCATGGCTGATGTCACTATCCAGTTCCAGTCAGACCCTGGGACCTCGGTGCTGGGCTATCAGCAGGGCTTCGTCATCCACTTCTTTGGTGAGCTTGTCCCTGCCTCGCTCAGAACACGGGCCCGGAACCACAGCAGGTCAGAGACCCAGGCAACAAGGGGCCTGGGTGCTCTTCCTAACAAGGGAAAGCTTCAGGTGTCACCTAAAGGAAGCTGGTCCTGTTCCCCATCTTCCCTGCTTGCCCAGCAAGAGAGAGAGCCCTCTGTTGCAGCAAGAGGGAGCTGGGTAGGCAGTGGGAAGAACTTCCATACACAAGTAGGAAACTTAGGAATGATCTTTAAAAGACGTGACCATTTCCCTCTCCCTACCCAACCCCATCTCTCAGGCCTGAGGAGCTGGCCAGGGTGCTAAGGCCTAGATGATCACCCAGGAAAGCAAGATGATGAAGAGTGGGTTCCTGAGCCCACCCAGGCCAGCCTAGGTCCAAGTCAAACTGGCAGGAACCAGAGTATACCCAGGGTGAGGGGGGCTCATACTGTGGCCTTGGTGCCGGTTGATGGCCCGCATCTGGCTGCCTCCATGCCCCCAGAGGTGCCTCGCAATGACACATGTCCGGAGCTGCCAGAGATCCCCAATGGCTGGAAGAGCCCATCACAGCCGGAGCTGGTACATGGCACGGTGGTCACTTACCAGTGCTACCCTGGCTACCAGGTGGTGGGATCCAGTGTCCTCATGTGCCAGTGGGACCTCAGCTGGAGTGAGGACCTGCCCTCGTGCCAGAAGGGTGAGTTTATTGTTCCCCATCCTCCCTGCCCAACACCCTCTGAGCTCCTCTCCTGGATTCCCAAGCAGACTCCAGCTGTTAGGAGTTTGAAGGTCCTTCTCTTATAGGCTGTCTCCTCATCTGTGAAGTGGGAATAATACCTGCTCATAGGGTTACCAACCAAGTGCTCCAACCGTTTCAGTCCCAGCACATGCCCAATTAGGGTTTCTTGATCATAGTGGATGAGAAAGGGACAAAAGAGTGGACACAGCAGCAAAGCGGAAGGGGCAGAGAAGTGGGGGGCGGAACCATGTGACAAGGAGATGCCAGCTGGCCCAGAACAGAGCCAGGGTGGCCGGGCCTTTGCTGAGTTCTCCTTGGGTTACTCTCTTCTATCCCTTCCCATCCATAGTGACTTCCTGCCGTGACCCTGGGGATGTGGAGCACAGCCGACGCCTTATATCCAGCCCCAAGTTTCCTGTGGGGGCCACTGTGCAGTATATCTGTGACCAGGGTTTTGTACTGACGGGAAGCGCCATCCTCACCTGCCATGACCGCCAGGCTGGCAGCCCCAAGTGGAGTGACCGGGCCCCCAAATGTCTCCGTAAGTGCCAGTTGGGTAGGAGGGGAAGCCTCTGGTGGGATATAATAGATGTGGCTCCTAGCAGCGAGGGGCCTGGCACCCTCACTAGACTCTGCCTGCTTTGCAGTGGAACAACTCAAGCCATGCCATGGCCTCAGTGCCCCCAAGAATGGTGCCCGCAGTCCTGAGAAGCGGTTACACCCAGCGGGCGCCACTGTCCACTTCTCCTGTGCTCCTGGCTATGTGCTCAAGGGCCAGGCCAGCATCAAGTGTGTGCCTGGACACCCTTCACATTGGAGTGACTCTCCACCCATCTGTAGGGCTGGTGAGTACTCTGCCATCCCCCAAAACCCTGCCTAGCCAAGCAAGCTGCTCTGGCAAAAACATCCAAGTCTGAGGGCCAGAACCGCCTGCCTATGCTCCCTTCTCCCGAGACAAATGCTGGAGTGTGCTCTCCTTGGACAACTCCTTGCCACACAGTCCCCTGTGTCCACTCCCTACATTAGTGGTTTGGCCCATTGGGCTCACCCACTGCCCTTGACCCTCCCCTCTTGTTCCAGCCTCTCTGGATGGGTTCTACAGTGGCCGTAGCTTGGATGGTGAGTCTCCACCCTTGAGGGCCAGGGAAGTGGTCTCCCTGCCCCTGGTTCTCACAGTTTGCAGGCCATGGGTCCCCCAAGGAAGTGGGGCAGAGACAAAGAGAGGTGTGGGCCTGCCAGGGCAAAAATGCCTTCCCTGCCACCAACCAACTAGGAGGAGCTGGTAGCCAGATACCCAGGGGCAGAGCGAGGGGCTGTGGGCTCAGGATGGCAGGAACCTCTGCTCCAGCTGCACCCTCTGTGTTTTCAGTTGCCAAGAGCCCTGCAGCCCCCAGCACCCTGGATGCTGCCCACATTGCTGCTGTCATCTTCCTGCCGCTGGTGGCGATGGTGCTGTTGGCGGGAGGCGTGTATCTCTACTTCTCAAGGTGAGTCTGGCTTCTCTTCCTGTACAGCACGCCTGACTCACTCTTGCCCAGCACTCCACACTCATTAACTTCTCTGCCCCGCAGGCTGCAGGGGAAAAGCCCTCTGCAGCTTCCCGGGACACGTCCCCGCCCCTACAACCGCATCACTGTGGAGTCAGCGTTTGACAATCCGACCTACGAAGCTGGAGTAAGTTCCCATGCCTGCCCTGATAGCCTCTCCAGGACCTTCTCTGCTCCCTGAGCCTCCCGCCGAGCCCTCTCACTTTCCCCCTTTCCCCCCGGGAAGGTGGATTATGGCCTGGCAAACCTTATGCAGGTTTCCAACTCCCAGCAGTCTCTTTCCTTTGCAGGAGACGAGAGAATATGAGGTCTCCATCTAGGTGGGGGCAGCCTGGGGGAGCCCACTCAGCCCTGCATCCCAGTCTGGCGTCAGGGCTCTCGGCTTCCTGCTGCCCTTCCACCTCCTGTACATACCACCTGGGAAGAGACGCTGCCAACCTTTCAAGAAGATGTGCCCTTCCCCGCCTGCAATGCCCACCATGGCCTATTTTCTTGGTACCACTGCCCACTTAGGGCCCTTCCTTGGGCTCGTGAAGGGGGCATCTGCCTCTGGAGCACATGCAGCAACAGCCAGCCTTCTCCTGACCTTCCCCCATGCCCTGGAGCTCCTGCCTGGAAGTCACAGGTCGAGCAGGAGCACCTCTCTCCATATAAGCCCCATCGAGCCCTGGCACGCGGATCCTGCAGCAGAGGCGTCGGTAGTGGAAACTGCACCAGAGTGTTCCTCACAGAGCCATCACCAGTGGCCCAAACTCTCCAGGGTGACCTCTGGGTGGGCCTGGCATGCCACCATGAGCCCCTCGGCAGGGGGGCAGGGGGCGGGGGGGGAGGTGGCAGTGCTCCTCTAAAGGCCCGAGAATGCACAGCCCTGCCTCCTGGAGGCGCTAATTCTCCAGGCCCCTCCGGAGCTCAAGGACCCTACCCCAAGCTCAGGTTGGGCTTCCCTGGGCCTTCACGCTCCACACCAAAGCAGGAAGTCCCTTGGCCCCCCACTGCTCCCCTGGCAGCCCTACACCCTGAGAGGGAGACCATGCCCTGATGTTTATCTGGCCATTACAAACATCTTCTTTCCCACTAGTTCCTCCTCCAGGACCAGCAAATTGCCAGGCTCCCCTCCTGGCCACTGTGTTATGGGCTAAGGGGAGCGGGCAGGCATATTCTGGAAAGGAGCAGAACCCAGGAATCTGGCATGAACCCGGGGGAGGTAGGAAGCCCCAGCGAGAGACCCAGGAGCTGGCTGAAGGCCACTTTGTACATATAATGTATTATATGGGGTCTGGGCTCCAGCCAGAGAACAATCTTTTATTTCTGTTTTTTCCTTATTAAAATGGTGTTTTGGAGAAAACCAAGCAATGGCCAGATGGATCGTGCTTTCTTAAGGGGGAAGGAGGTGGGAGATGAATGGGACATGGACTTCAGGACCAGAGGCACGCTGCACCCACCAGCAATGTGCAGGTGAGCAGGGACCAGCGTCCCCGCGAACGTCTCTGTGACAGATGTCACATGGAATGAGAGGCCTCAGTGGCTGGCGTCACAGGTCTGTGGGCGCCTAGGACGGCAACTGCTCACCCAGGCCCGTGCCTCGTTTCCTCCACTTTGCCAGGCCTGCAGCTACAGACCCACATGCTCCCAAACCCCCCTCTCAATGCCACTGGGTTGTTCACAAGGCTCGGGAAGACTGATGCATCCTCCTTCCATTCCTTTTCAAATAAGCGAGATTTGGGAAATTGGAATAGGGACCAGAGGCGGAACCCCAGCACTTGAAGCCCTGGTCTGGCTTTCTCAGTGAACATCCAGATTGCCAGGAGCAGGGACGCCTCAGAGTGTAGCTCCTACATTATGCAAAATCTCTACCCCTGGGCTCTCAAACGAGGTGCTGGGCAAGAGCTGCTGAAGTTTTGCCCTTCCCTGTGGTCTTCAGCTAAGTCTGAGACGAAAGTGTTTGTCCAGCATTGGCCTCCAGCATAGATATTTCACACTTCGAGGTGTGCCCTGCATAGCTGTTGTCTGGACTACGGACAAGAGGCGAGCAGTAGGGACTCACAGGAAGTCAGAAGACAGAGGGAGCAGCATTTGTGACACCGTGGATTAAGCCACTGCCTGAGAAGCCAGCATCTCATATCGGAGTGCCAAATTGGTTCCTGGCTACTCGGCCCGGTATCCAGCTTCCTGATAATGCTCCTGGGAAGGCAGTGGTGATAACCCAAGTACTTGGGCCACTGCCACCCATGCGGGAGACCTGAATAGAGTTTCTGACTCCAGGCTGGCTCTGGCTTGGCCCAGCAACACCCTGATCACTGTGGCCATTTGGGTGGTTAACCAGTGGATGAAAGATCTCTTTCTGTCCCTCTCTCTCTCTGTCACTCTGCCTTTCAAATAAATAATTCTTTCTTTATAAAAAAAGATTTTATTTATTTATTTGAGAGGTAGAGTGACAGAGAGAGAGAGAGAGAGAGAAAGAGACAGGAAGGTCTTCCATCCACTGGTTCACTCCCCTAATGGCTGCAATGGCTGGAGCTGAGCCGATCCGAAGCCAGGAGCCAGGAGTTTCTTCCAGGTCTTCCACGCAGGTACAGGGGCCCAAGCACTTGGGCCATCTTCTACTGATTTCCCAGGCCATAGCAGAGAGCTGAATTGGAAGAGGAGCAGCCGGGACACAAACCGGCACCCATATGGAATTCCAGTGCCACAGGTAGAGGCTTAGCCCCTACCCCACAGCGCCGGTAATACTCAAAAAGCAACCAGAAAACAGAAATCCCTGAAACAATAGTAGCACCAGCGCCTTCCGCTTCACAGGCTTCCAGCTGGGAGGTCTTAATCATCCATGCTGCCCACTTCCTGGCTCTCAAAGGAGCCACCTTGAAGCCAGGGAAATTCGTCCTGCAGAGTGCAGTGCCTAGAGTAGCCACAAGAGGTCACTTCCAAAGGCACCCGTATCCCACCTGCTCTCCTCAATCCCCTAGGAACAGCACAGCCGGAGCTCTCCAAGGTGGCATCAATTCCTGCACCCCCACCCCCACCCCCACCCACCGCCTGAGCTCATCTTCCAAGTTCCAACAAGAGGAAGGTGTGTGGAGGGATTCATTCCCCCTGGCATTTGCCAACAGAACAAAGTCTTTCCCCCCTCATTAGTCCAGGGTCTCTCCTGTTCTCAGCTGTAGCTGATGTTGATCAAAGTGAAGCCTTGCTTACTGGAAATGGCTTATTTATCTGCCCCGTCATGTCTTCAGGCTGACATAGCAGCACAGGTGGGCCCTGAGCAGTGGGAAGGGAACCGGTGAGAAAGGGCACATGAGGTTCCAACTTCTGAGAGGTCTGATCCCTTCCATACAAGCAGTTTAACTCAGTTCTTTGAGGAACTCTCTGGCCCGAAGCCGCTATGGCCTATTGTCGGCTGAGGTTAGAACAGCCAGTTCACCTTTGTTCTCCAGCACTCCTCCTCCCCATGATTTTATTATTCCTTCCAGCCACTAAGAGGGTCATCAGAAAAGAGAGAAGTCATTTTAAAAACGAAAAATCTTAAAATTCCACACACTGGCATTCCCACTCTACATAACTTATCTTCCTTATTGTCCCAGGTGCAGTTAGTATCTTGTAGTGGACAGTGTCTGGCCTGGGGATCAAATTCGTTCAGAGAGAGAGAGAGAAAGGGGGAGGGGGGAGAGAAGCAATTGAAAAAAAAGTTTCATTCCCACGTCTGCCATAAATTCATTATGCGGCCTCTCTGTGCCTCTGGAAAGACGAGAATGAAATCAGATGGTCTCTCGGCCCCTCTCAGTTTTATGACTCTGAGAATGCGTGTGCCGTAACATTAGACATGGGCAGGACACCGCTGTCAATCATGCTACTTAAACGCCCACTTTTAGGCACAACGATGCGGTTCCCTTCTTCACTGCTTCATCTACCGTTGGGCAGCAATAACTGGTCACCTCTGCGGGCAATAGCAAGGGGAAGGGCGAGCGCCCTGGAAGAGAGCATGCATCCCCGCCCAGAATTCGAGGTGAGGCCCTAAGACTACAAATCCCAGCATGCAGCACGGAAATTCTCAAAAGCATCTTCCCGACAAGCGAATTACTCCTTTCCTTCCTTCCTACAGTATAGTGCGTTTCAAGCTCACGGAACTACGACTCCCACAATCCATCAGACCCATCGCGATGCTTGCTCCCAGGGTGCCATGCGCTCCCGTCCGCCCTTTTGGACCCCCTGCGCATTGCAATCTGGGAGTGGGAGTCCTCTGTGGGCCGGTAGCTGGGCGTTGTCAGGGATTACAAACTCTAAGCCTCTTGAGCAGTTCTCAGAACGGTGGTCGAGAGAGGGTGGTAACGGGCAGGCGGAAGTCTCCATGGTGCCATCACCACGCAAGGCAGGGATGCTCGTTCTAAATTTAATTGTCGGGAGCAGGAGGGAAGTGGGGACGGCAGCCACCCAGCCAAAGCGTCGCTTTCTGTCGCACTGGCTTTTCTTTTCTCTTTATCAACATGGCGGCCTGGTCCAGCCACACCTGACGCTGGAACCAACTGTCCAGTCCAACACCTCTATGAATACTGCCATCACCAGCAGCCTACCAGCTCTGTCCAACATTCCTTGCCCCTTCCTGTTCATGCTTGAGGACTACAAGGACACGGCAGCCCTTATCCCATTACTAAAATGGCGAAAGGAGCAGCTTTCTTTGAGGGCCTGCAGGTGACGATACGCCTGCGCGGGAGGCGGTTGTGTTATGGGGCGGGAGGGGAGCATCCCCAACACGCCTGCGCGGGAACAGAGCCCTCTCGGTCTGCACACAAACACCAATGGATGAAGAGTCCTCGGGTTCCTGCGGCTGCGCTGTGACCCCTAGGAGCTTCCTCAGGCGCCTGCGCGAGACCTCGGGTCCCGCCCTTTTATCTCAGTACGCTGGCGCAGGGCAGGAAGGCGGGGCTCCGGGGCTCCAGACGAATGCCAGCGCGGCTGCGCGCTGGGGGGTACCCCCTCACCGCGGCTGCGCGGGAGCCCGGCCGCCGGCTGTCACTGCGGTTGCGCGCGGCGAGCGGCGATCCCCGGGCGCCTGCGCGGGTGGCTTTGCGGGCGCTCGCGGTAAGTTTGCGCCAAGTGCGCGGCAGCCGGGACGCAGACGGCGGCGGCGGCGAGAGGCGGAGCCCGGGGACCACCCCCCATCACCCTCCCCCCCAGTCACCTCACGTACCACAACCTCACCTAACCTCTCACCCCCCCCTCCGATCCCCCTAACCCCGGGATGGCAGCGCCCGCCAGCCTTCCCGGCCGGACCAGCGGTCGCCAGCGCCGGCTTTAGCCTGTGGGACTAGGCCCCGCCGAGGCCTGACCCCCGGAGCCGGGACCCACTGTGCAGCCAGCCGCCGGGCCGGGGCTGAGGGGCCGCTCCCCCCTCACGGCCCGCGGGGAGGACGCTGCCGTCCCAGGGACTGGGGGCCGGGGGGTGGGGGGGAGCCAGGGCGAGGAAGTCGGGACCCGTGTTGGGAAAAAAGAAGGGGAGCCGGGGTCAGGAGCACCCCCTCCCCCCGCCTCCCCCCTCCCCCCGGGGTTGGGGGGGCCGGAGCAGAGAGCGCCCAGCCCGGGAGGTGGATGAATGTGGGAGAAAATGGAGACCAAGACGATCGTGTACGACTTGGACACGTCGGGGGGGCTGATGGAGGTAAGAGTGGCCCTCCTCATCCCCTTCCCCCAGCGCCGGGAGGGAACCTCCGCCCTCCGCCCCACAAAGCCGGCCTGAGCTCGGAGCGCCAGAGGGCCAGGGGAGGGGGGTTTCTTCCCTGCTCAGCCTCTCCCTCCCATCTCGGCGATTCGGGGGGCTGAGCTCAGCCGCCGAGGACGTTTGCAGCAGTTTCACCTACCCGCCGCCCTCGATTCGCTTTCCAGAGGCGCCAGCCCACTCCATCGCGTTGCACCGGCGGGCCTCCCCACCCCCTTCTTGTCGGCCCCTTTGTGCTTCCTCCCGCACGTCCGGGTACCGGGCTTCGGGCCTCTCCCGAGCCAGGCTTTGGAGTCCCCCACTGTCCATACAAGGAAGTGGCGAGAAGGGAACCGCGCACCCTCTCCCCATCCCCCTACCCTGATCCTCCCCATTTGGAAGAAGCTGCGCTCGTTGTTGTGCTGCAGAAACGCGGTTGGGGTGGGCTCCCCCTGGTTCCGGGGGCTGAGCGGTTCTGGGAGCAGCCTGGATGGGAGGAAGAAGGACAAAAGGGGGGAGAGGGGTGGGTGACGGAGTAGCCGCGCCGGGGGGTCGACGGGCCGCCCGGGAGCTCCGAGTGTGCACACACGCCGTTTGTATGTGTGTGCAGCAAATCCAAGCTCTGCTGGCTCCCCCCAAGACGGACGAGGCGGAAAAGCGGAGTCGGAAGCCTGAGAAGGAGCCGCGGAGAAGCGGCAGGGCCACCAACCACGACAGCTGCGATAGCTGCAAGGAAGGTGGAGATCTCCTGTGTTGCGACCACTGCCCGGCCGCCTTCCACCTCCAGTGCTGGTAAGGGCTGGCCTCCTCTCGAGCCCCTCGGCGGACCGCTCTCCGCACATTCCTTCACCTGGCCTGCCCCTGCCTGCCGAAATAACGGGCGCCTGCAGCCGCTAGCTGACTCTCTGCAGCCGCTGGGGCGAGCGCCTCCCCGCCCCCAGGTGTCTGCCGGGATCTGGCCGTTTCGGGGCGGGGGGGGGGGGGAGCGGCGGGGAGGAGCAGCGTCGAGCCCGGACCCCGAGGTGGGGGTTGGGAGGAATGAGGAGAGCCCCATCTGGGATTGGAAGTCGCAGGGGAGCTGGGACCGAGCCGGCCGGGCACGGCCAGCGGTGGCGGGGGAGGAAGGGGAGGAGCTCCGGGCCCAGAGCCGCTTGCCTGCCCGCGCGCCCGCCGCTCTCGGGGCTCCTGCCCGGCCGGGCTCTCCTCCGGGTGGGTGCGCGGAGCCCTTGGCCGCCCGCGCTGCTCTGGTGCAGGCCCCGCTGCCCGGCGTTTGCCGCTGTGGAAGAAACGGAGAGTGGCTCGAGTCGGCCTCTTCTTTGCCTCTCTGTTTACAATATGGCGACCTGCCTTTAAATTATATTTTTATTCTCAGCGCCATTTTGGCTGCATATATGATTTGCAAACGTCTCTTGGAGAACGGTGGGGGCAACTCCGGAGTCCTTTCTGCAGAAGCTCCTCGAAGGCCGGGGCTGGGATCTCGCCGCTTTGGTCCCCTTTCTCTGCCTCCGTTTGCCCCCTGTTGCCTCTTGGAGCTACTTCCCCCCTCCGCCGCACCCCCCCCTCCCCACCGCTGCTGCCTCTTAGGAAATCGGGCTGGGTTAGACAATTAAAATTGCCCTTGGGCTGCGATTTCACTTCTCCTTCCCGGATCGAGGAGCCCTTGGCCGCAAAATTCTTAGCTGCAGGGGTAGCCTTGTATGCGATGGAGCCAAAAAGGCATTTTTAAGGAGCTGAGAACTGGAAAGCTGTGCGCTTCCTCCTCCCCCCCCCCCCGCCCTTACTGAACGCGAGGGGAGGGGAGAGACCCAAGAGAGTGAGGGAGGAGGGACCTGGGTTGATCGCCCGCTGCTTGATCCTCCTCAGCAGCTCAGCCCAGAACAATCCGGTAAAGAAGAGTTTTGAAAATCAGAGCTTCTGCCTGAGAGAAGTCACCTCGCTGCCTTCCACTAAAATCCCGCATCTGCGCATCCAGCCCAGATTGCGTCTGGTTCTACTGGGTCGTGTTCTGTTTGGCGGGAAGAAGGGGGCTGTGCTGTGTGTTCCTACCCGGTTTTCCATGGTGCCTTTTTTTAGTCCTGTTGGCGGGGGGGATTTTTTCCTCTTTACGTCCCTCCACAGTTCCATTCATCTGTTCTCTGTTTGTGGAATTGTATTTGTACTAATTGCAGGTTTTGGAACACTTATTAGATGACTGATACTGGACAAATTGAATCTGGTCAGAAGTTATGTAGGAAGCTCCTATTACCATTTCCAAGATACTTTTGCCCAGGAGGGCACCTCTTATTGGCTTGTTATGTTGCAGAGGTGAAAATGATTATCCTGGAGGAAGCTTTGCTGCTGGCTTTAAAATTTTTATGATCAAGTGACTAACAGCAGGAAGGGTCTGTGGTTTTTAGCCTTTACTTGCCCTAAGGTGTAATCTACCTGGAGAAAATATCTCTAGGCAAGTTTCCTTTGCTGTTGTTCCTTAGGAAAGATTTGGGTCTGAATTACATTATTACATTATTCTCAGTAGTGTGCATTTTCTCTTGTGCTTGTTTGATATGTATACTAGCACAGTTATGGACTCCTTGACTTAAAGTATGGGCTAACGTTTTATCTCTAGGAAGAAGTGGGTGTTAACCAAGATTGGTAATTAAGGATTTGATAAGCTCTATTATCTTCAGCCTGATTTGTTTAATAAAACTGAAATTTCTGGGGACTTTAGGTCTGGAAAAAGTATACTGTTTTGCATGAGACCAGGCTTTTTTTTCCTCCCTGCTTTTAAAATTTATATATTTGAAAGGCCAAGAGGCAAATTTCACATCTCACCATTCCCCAAATGCCATTCAACAACTGGAGTCAGGAACTTAACCCAGATCTCCCACATGGATGGCAGAGACCCAATTGCTTGAGCCATCACCTGCTTGCCTCCCAGGATGTGCATTAGCAGGAAGCTGGATCAGGAGGAGCTAGGATTCAGCCAAGGCACTTGGGATGTGAGCATCCCAAATGGAATCTTAACTTCTGTGCCAAATGCCCACCCTGAGATCAGCTTTTAAACTCTGAAACCTAACCTGAATTTTTTAATTAGATGAGTCTGAGTTCTGTCAAGTTAATACTTTCCACTTTAGCTGAGAGGAAAGAGAGAGACTTGTAGCTGTTGGTGAGACTCAGGCTTGCTCAGGCTGTGCATTTCATTGAACACTTTTTTGAGATCGTGAATTGCAACTGGTAATCAGAGATTTGAGAACTGTAGTAAATGAGGTAGGGCTTGTTTCATATCTCCAATTCTCCCTTTAAAGATATTAAGACTGAATGTACCATTGACTTATCAGAGCTATTATCTAAATCACGAAACAATCTAGATAGCAGGGCTGGGAGTCTTTTGAAGAAGCATTCCCTAGTTGAGTTTCGTTCAGTGAATGAAGTTTATCCCACTTTCCTGCCTCCTAACCCACACTCCAGCAAGAGCGAAGTATTCCATTAGCCCACTCAACCACAGTAGTTTGGTCATGCAGTTAGTGTCTCTGAAAATTTTCTATTCCTGAGTGTGTTTTCATTAGTTGTCCTGTTACTGCTTGCTTATACCATATGGGAGTGAGCTTGGGAGATATGGCTTTATTTTCTCTTACTTCCCTTTCTAACTGGCTGAGACCGAATTATTTCGATAAGCAGAGTAACAATCAATTCCCTTTATGTATAGAATGTACAAGAATGAACTTGGAATTTTGCAAACATTGTGGGTCATAATTGTAATACTGCTCCGGTTCTCTGTTCAAAGTTCCGTGTGACAAGTCCTTTTTCATTCTCTACTGTCTCCTGCCCATCTGCCTCACAAGTGATTGGGAATCTAGTAAAATGTTCCAGAAGTGATTCTAAGCAAACTTTACCTCCTGGGCTTCATGACATAGCCGTAAACCACAGGGGATTTTTCTAACATAAACGACTGGAGGAAATGACTGGCCAAATAAGCTGTTTTAATTGTCCTGTCTTTTCTCAGGGGCCAGTACTCTGTATAAGGAACATCGTCTTTTCCCAGTTAGACTGGGAGCACTGTTTCCGGGTTTCTGTAGTGATCCTCTGGGTTAGGAAATGAGTTGTCTGTGCTCAGTACCTCAGTGACCTCACTGAAGAACTAAACTCAGGGAGCTGATATCTTTGTGTTGAAGTGATAGTGTAATCATTTTATTCAAGTTTAACTGGTCTATTAATTATTCAGAGTAAAGTAGGGGTTACTAAATCTGCCCCTGGAAAAATGGGAAAAGATGTGTTTTTAAGTGTTCCTTGATGAACCTGACCTTTATCATAATTGTTAAGCCACAGTTGAGCTTTGTGAAAATTCTGTTCTCCGTGAACTGATCTGTAAAATCTGTTTAAAGTTAGAATAAGGGGTGCAGCTTTAGATGCCGCTGACCCATCTTTCAGTCTGAGATGGAGAGGGTGGTTGTTGCCGGCAAGAGTGAATATCATAGAGCAGCAGTAATGAGGCTGACTGGAAACTCTGGTTTCCTCTGATTGCTTTCTCATGGAATTTTTGCTCCAAACAGACTGAGGGACCAAAACAGTCTGATTGAGAAGTGCATCTACCTCAGCAGACCTCAGCATGGTCCCTTCCCGTCAGACAGATTTCTGTAGCATTTGCCTCCGCATGTTATATTTGGAATTGTTGGCCGGCTTTCCTCTCTCTGGTGTTGGCAGCGAGATCCAAAATGAGGTTTTCGAAGAATGAGAGTAAAAAGGTCTCTGTGCACAGGCAAAGCTAAGCTCAGCTTGGAGTTTTGCATATTTAATTTTCGGTGAGTCATAACAAAGGTTTCACACATAGGATATAAAACTGCTTTGCAGAAAATCTTTGCTGTTTGAACTTTTAAGGAGGTGATTTTTCTGATTTTGTCGTTTAGTTCCTCATTAGAATGTTATCAGCAAGTGATGAATTAAAGTACCTTTTTGGAAAGATTTCCCTATCTGAAAGGCACAGTTACACACACAACACAGAGAGACAGAGAGACTGTGACCAGCCGGCATTATGGTGCAACAGGTTAAGCTACCACTTGGTTGCTAGCACTCCATATTGGAGCACGATTTCAAGTCCCAGTTGCTCTTGCTTCCAATCCAGCTCTCTGCTAATATGCTTGGGAAAGCAATGTGTGATGACCCAAGTACTTGGGCCCCTGCCACCCACGTGGGAGACCTTGATGGAACTCCCAGCTTCAGCCTGGCCCAACACTAGTTGTTGTAGCCATTTGGGGGTGAACCAGCAAATGGAAGATCTCTTTCTATTGCTCTACCTTTTAGATAAATAAATATTTTAAAAAAGAGAGAGAAAGCTTGTTTATTGTAAAATCATTTTGTTATTGGTGGGACAGAATAATGGGTAGGGATCTAGATGTCACTTTCAATGCCAAGCTTCTAAGCCTGTTTTCCATCTTCTGGTTCACTCCCCAAGTACCTACACAGTGGTAGCTGAGCCAGGCTGGTCCAGGTTGAAGCCAGGAGCCAGGAATTCCATCTTGGTCTCCCACGTGGCGGGCAGGAATTCAAGTGCTTGGGCCATCATCCATTGCCTCCCAGGCTTGTTAGGGGGAAGATGGATCCGAAGCATGAAGTAGCCAGGATTCAAATCAGGAACACTAATATGGGATGTGGGAGTCCCAAACAGTGGGTTCAACGACTGTGCCACAATGCTTGTCCCTAAAATATGTTTCTTTTAATGATAGCTTATGAATCTGTTGCTTTTGACAAAACAGGCTTAGAAGCCTGACACTAAAGAACTGGAGATGACATCTGAATTTCCACCCATCACTCTGTCCCATCAATAATCAAATGATTTTACAATCAGTAATGCTAACTTGTTTTTATATTTAATTTTTTTTTAAGTATTTATTTATTTAAAAGAGTTACAGAGGCAGAGAGAGACAGAGAGGTCTTCAGTCTGCTGGTTCACTCCCAAAATGGTCACAATGGCCAGAGCAGGGCTGATCCAAATCCAGGAGCCTGGAGCTTCTTCCAGGTTTCCCACATGGGTGCAGGGGCCCAAGAACTTGAGCCATTTCCTACTGCTTTCCCAGGCCATAGCAAAGAGCTAGATTAGAAGTAGAGCAACTGGGAGGTGAACCAGCACCCATATGGGATGCCTGCACTGCAGGTGGTGGCTTTACCTGCTGCACCACAGTGCCAACCCCTTTTATATAAAACTTTATTCACTCATTTTATTTATCGTATTTGCTGGATTCATTGGGATATATGTATGTTGTTTTTAAGTGGTCTACCAACATGGAGGGTCCAGGGACATTCAGCAGTAACTCAAGATCAGATACACATTTCTTAAACTTAATTTGAGGCTCAGGGGCTAATACTTATGAGATGAGTACTTCACTTAAAAAATAAAAGATAGTCATTGGGGCCATTGTTGTGGCACAGTGGGTTCAGCCTGTGACCCCAGGATCCCATATAAGCACTGTTCGAGTCCCTGCTGCTCTGCTTCCAGTCGAGCTCCCTGCTAATGCACCTGGAAAAGCAATGAAAGATGGCTGAAGTGCTTGGGACTCTACCCTTATGGAAGCCAAGGATGGAGTTCCTGGTTCCTGGCTTCAGCTGGCCCAGACCTTGCTTTTGCAGCCGTTTGCGGGGTGAACCAGCAGATCAAAGAATTCTCTTACTCTCACTTTGCCTTTCAAATAGATAAATAAATCTACAAAAAATAAAATAGGGCAGGTATTTGGGGCAGCAGGTAGGAAGCCCCTTGGGACACATACACACCATATCAGAGTACCAGGGTTTGAGTTCTGGCTTTTTTTTTTTTTTTTTTTGACAGGCAGAGTGGACAATGAGAGAGAGAGAATGGTCTTCCTTTTCCGTTGGTCCGCCCCCCAAGTGGTCGCTGCACCAATCCGAAGCCAGGAGCCAGGTGCTTCTCCTGGTCTCCCATGCGGGTGCAGAGCCCAAGTACTTGGGCCATCCTCCACTGCACTCCTGGGCCACAGCAGAGAGCTGGACTGGAAGAATGGCAACCGGGACAGAATCTGGCACCCCAACTGGGACTAGAACCCGGTGTGCCAGTGCCGGCCCTGGCTCCATTTTTAATTTCAGCTTCCTGCTGGTGTGTACCCTGGCAGGCAGCAGTGAAGGCTTAAATGCGTAGGTCCCTACCACATGGGAAACTCAGATTGAGTTCCAGGTTCTCAGCTTCCTCCAGGCCTAGCTACAGCTGTTGAGGGCATTTGGGGAATAAACCAGCAGATGGGAGACCTCTCTGTCTCTGTCTCTCGGCCTTTCAAGTAAAAATAGATTAAAAAAAAAAAAAGTTTAATGATAGCTAGTTTAAAGTCACAAGAGCTACCCCTAAGAAAAAAGGATATTTGGTATGAGTTGTTTAATTAAAATGTGTGTGGCCCAAATGGCTTGGGTTGAAAAATGAAATATCACAAACATTGGAAGTGGGAAAAGGGATAATATTCCTGAAAGGTGGGGTTGGTGCCATGGCATAGTGGATAAAGCTGCCTCTTTCAGCACTGGTATCCCACATAGGCACTGATTCAGTCCTGGCTGCTCCACTTCTGATCCAGCTCCCTGCTAATGCACCTGGGAAACCAGTGGAAGATGGCCCAAGTACTTGGGTCACCCACATGGGAGATCCATATGAAGTTCCTGGCTTCACCCTAGCCATTGCAGCCATTTGGGAAGTGACCAGAGGATGGAAGACATCTCTCTTTGTTTCTCTCTCTCTCTCTCTCTCTTTCACCTGCTGTATAACTCTTTCAAATTAAGTTTTTTTAAAAAAAATTTTAGGCCAGCACCATGGCTCACTTGGCTAATCCTCCACCTGAGGCACCAGCACCCTGGGTTCTAGTCCCAGTTAGGGTGCCAGTTCTGTCCCAGTTGCACCTCTTCCAGTCCAGCTTTCTGCTGTGGCCCGGGAAGGCAGTGGAGGATGGCCCAAGTGCTTGGGCCCTGCACCCACATGGGAGACCAGGAGGAAGCACCTGGCTCCTGGCTTCGAATTGGCGCATCGCACTGGCCGTAGTGGCCATTTGGGGGGTGAACCAACGGAAGGAAGACCTTTGTCTCTGTCTCTCTCACTGTCTAACTCTGCCTGTCCAAAAAAAAAACAAGGGAACATTCTTAAAAGGTGACAATTTTGGTTTGAACTAAGGCAAGAACTTACAGGAACTTATTGGTGTTAGGGGAAACATTTCATTTGGGACCTGTCCCAAATTTAATTACAATAATTAGTGAAAGGTAGGCTGCAGTTATAATCTCATGAACCTCTGCTGTTCCTCAAGGCTCTCAAAGTATTTTACAACACTTTAGATTAGTGGGCTCCACTAATATACTTACAGTAGGACAGTTTGGGATGTTTGTCAATGACTTCTGTGTATTTTTGTAGACAGAAATGTACAAAAGACATTTAGGTACTTCTCTGTTTGAATCTTGAGATAGCATTCCTGTTGGTCTGTGATCATTTCTTTATCACATATGCCTCCAAAAGGTTTTTAGGTTTTTTCTTATTAAGCCAAATCAGAGGAATGTTCAATAAATTGTCAAATTTGAGCTGAAAAGGAATTCAAGTGGTCCCTATTAAGTGTTGGGTGAAAACACTGATTTTTGTTCAGCTCTAAGTGAAAGTACAAGTGAAATGTAAAATTACTTAAAAGGGCTTAGTGAACCTCTTCAAGGCTCATCCTTATAGTATTGATCTGTACTTCATTCTCTCTTTTTTTTTTGAAGATTGATTTATTTGAAAGGCGGAGTTACAGAGGCAGAGGCAGAGAGAGAGAGGTCTTCGATCCGCTGGTTCACTCCCCAAATGGCTACAACGGCTGGAGTTGGGCCAATTTGGAGCCAGGAGCTTCTTCCAGGTCTCCTATGTGGGTGCAGGGGCCCAAGGACTTGGGCCATCTTCTACTGCTTTCCCAGGCCATAGCAGAGAGCTGGATTGGAAGTAGAGCAGCCAGGACTCAACTGGCGCCCATGTGGAATGCCTGCACTACAGGCAATGGCTTTACCTGCTGCGCCACAGTGCTAGCCCCACTTGATTCCTTTTTATGGTTGAACAATATTCCGTTGTATGATTATACCACATTTTTGTTTATCCATTTGTCCGTCACTGGATACTTGAGTTATTTATACTTTTTGCTATTGTGAACATTTGGGTACAGATTTTTGTGTGGACATGTTTTCATTTCTCTTGGAAGTGTAAAGGTGAAATTGCTGGGTTTGCTTTCCCACCAGCAGTGTTGAGGGTTCTAGTACCTCCACACCCTCAACAATACTTGTTATTGTCTGTCTTGGTTACAGCCATCCTAGTGGGCATGAGGTTGTATCTCATTGTGGTTTTGAATTGTGTTTCCCTGATGGCTAATGATGTAAAGCCTCTTTTTGTGTGCTTATTTTCTGTTTGTATAATTGCTTGGAGAAGTATCTATTGGGATTCTTGGTCCATTTTTAGTTAGATTCTTGTTTTGTTTTGTTTTGTTTTTCAAGTTGAGTTGGGAGTGTTCTTTATACAAGGACACTTTCAAAAGTTCATGTAAAATGGAATGACCAGGCCAGTGCCGCGCGGCTCAATAGGCTAATCCTCCGCCTGCGGTGCCAGCACACTGGGTTCTAGTCCCTGTCGGGGCGCCGGATTCTGTCCCGGTTGCCCCTCTTCCAGACCAGCTCTCTGCTGTGGCCCAGGAGGGCAGTGGAGGATGGCCCAAGTGCTTGGGCTCTGCACCTGCATGGGAGACAGGAGAAGCACCTGGCTCCTGGCTTCGGATCAGCGCGGTGCGCTGGCCGCAGCGGCCATTGGAGGGTGAACCAACGGCAAAAGGAAGACCTTTCTCTCTCTCTCTCTCTCTGTCCACTCTGCTTGTCAAAAAAAAAAAAAAAAAAGAAAGAAAGAAAGAAAGGAATGACCAGATCAGTCTATTTTGGTGCAAAAAATATGAAGTACATGCACTTTTTCATAACATGCATTTAAAAAAAATATATTTATTCAAAAGGTGGGGTTACAGAGAGGCAGAGACAGAGAGAAGTCTTCCATTTGCTAGTTCACTCCCCCAAACTTATCTTTTAATTCTGTTTTACACAAACTCTTTGAAGTACCCTGGTATGTATGTATATATGTATTCTAGCTATACATCCTTTTTCAGATATATAATTTGCAAATATTCTGCCATTCTGTGGGCTACCTTTTCACTTCCCCTTTTTTCTTTCTCTTTTTCTGTCTTACCTAAAAAAATTTGTTGATTTCAGCACACTCTTAATATCTGTATTTGTATTACCTATATAATAACTAAGTAAAGAGTTTCCTGTGTAAACTCCAGTTAGGATGGGACATCTCGAAGGCAAGAATCTTACAGTTGGTTCTGATACATTGTTGCCTCAACTTTTCTGGTTGATCCTTCCTAGCAAAGAAATCTGAGGCTGGAAGTTACCCAGGAGGAAATATAAAAACCTACCTCTTGCTTGTAGGCAGAATGTCCACACAGTACTCAACAGCCATAATAAAAAATTTCTGAGTCTGCACACTTCTCATACTCGGAGGCTCCTAGTTTAAGAAAGATTTTTAATTGCTGCAGTTTGATTGGTAACAGTTGGGGTGGAAATAACTCCAGATCCATTAATGTGCTCTCTTTTGAACCTGGTTAACAAGAATAAGAAAAAAAATTTTTTTTAATTTTTATTTGACAGATAGAGTTAGTGAGAGAGAGAAACAGAGAGAAAGGTCTTCCTTCCGTTGGTTCACCCCCCAAGTGGTCGCTGCACCAATCTGAAGCCAGGAGCCAGGTGCTTTTCCTGGTCTCCCACGCGGGTGCAGGGGCCCAAGTACTTGGGCCATCCTCCACTGCCCTCCCGGGCCACAGCAGAGAACTGGACTGGAAGAAGAGCAACCGAGACTAGAACCTGGCGTTCATATGGGATGCCGGCGCTGCAGGTGGAAGATTAACCAAGTGAGCCACGGCGCCGGGCCCAAGAATAAGAAATTGTATCCTGCAGCAAACTCACCTGTTTGTCTTAATATAAGCCTTAGGTAGTTAGTAAATAGGGGGGATAGCACAGAGAATAATTTACCTGCAGGTTTTGTATAACTTATATAAAAAAGAAATAGTCTACTTTGATGCTCTCAAGAATTTTGGCCACCTAGAAATACAAATGTCCTGCTTCTTAACAGAAATGATGCATCTTTTCTCCTATAAGTGGCAGAGTAATAGGAAATAGATAAAGCTGAATGTTAGCATTTTTTATTATGAGTACTTTTCTTGTCCCACCCCAAGCACATACATAACCACTCCTCTGGTGTGTGGTTATGTAAGCCACCCTAGTAAAAGATTCTGGTTGGGCTTAGGATGGCTCTTACTATGTTAGTGCCACACAGTCTCCAGAAGTGTGTTTTTATCTGGAGATGCCAGAGTTTTACGTCACCAGAAGAGAAAAAAATGCCTGTTCCCCCACAACATACACTGGTCTCCTTTGACCTAGAAGCCCCAGGGAATACAACGTGGCCAGGTGCATTGCCATTCAATGAGTGACACTTATAAGAGCATCTCTGCATAATGCAAGCCTCCCAAGAGACACAGCACAGGGGTATGGTTGTCCCCTTGCCAGTTTCCTGAATGAGGAGGACATTGTATTCAGTACAAGTCCTAGACCAAATTTCAGAAAGGCACTTTGGTACTGCAGACTTGTCATCATGCCCAGGACACATGCACAGGTCACTAGCTGACTGTTCTTCCCATGACTTGAGAGCAATTAAGAAGAATGAGAAGGTGACTCTCTTTCTGTCTGCCATTTCCAGATATCAAAGCCCTCATCTTTAAGCCCAAGGATATTTCTAAATCTAGGTCTCAGCAAGTGAGAACGAAGATAAGGTGGTTTTTTTTTTGGGGGGGGGGCAGGCAGAGTTAGACAGTGGGAGAGAGAGAGACAGAGAGAAAGGTCTTCCTTTTCCACTGGTTCATCCCCCAAGTGGCCGCTACGGCCGGCTGTGCTGATCCGAAGCCAGGAGCCAGATGCTTCCTCCTGGTCTCCCATGTGGGTGCAGGGCCCAAGCACCTGGGCCATCCTCCACTGCCTTCCCGGGCTACAGCAGAGAGCTGGACTGGAAGAGGAATGACCGGGACAGAATCCGGCGCCCCAACCGGGACTAGAACCTGGGGTGTCGGCACCGCAGGCAGAGGATTAGCCAAGTGAGCCGCGGCACCGGCCCATAGGTGAGGTTTTAGTACATTTGTGTGAGAGGCAGAAGCTGAGGGGACCAATAGATAGTGACAAAAGAATAAATCATTGATTTGACCCATCAGAAAGAGGGAGCCCAACTACACAGAGCCAGTGTTGAACTTAGCAAAAAATTCCAAGTGTACTTTGCAGGTGGGTGAAATTTTCTAAGTAATGGAAAAAGTTGATTTGCTAGTCAAACAGCCATTCCTGCCCCTCCCTGTGCAATGTTTATACTAAATAAATGTTCACTAAACTACTTGAAATCCAGAGGCTAGCCTATTTTCTGTTCTCATCCTTGATGCATAATACCTAGTGGCATTACAAATGAGAGACATGCAAAGGTAAACACTAGTTGGGGAATGGAAATAATATCTAGGTTATTCCAAGTGGATGATATCTTTGATAATACAGCCACAAGCTGACTATCCTTTTCCCCTAATTGTATTTGCTTTCTTATACGTTAATCCTTCTGGTATTTAATTTTTGCCCTTCCCGTGTTTTCTGAAAAATTATGCAAAAAAGACATAAAGAGTAACAGCAGGGCCGGGAGGAACTCTGCACCTGAGCTTAGCATCAGTCTTCCCCACTGATCTGAACTCTGCGTGAGACTCCTTGTGATAGAAGTTCAAGTGAGTGCTGGTGCCGCGGCTCAATAGGCTAATCCTCCGCCTGCGGCGCAGGCACACCGGGTTCTAGTCCCGGCCAGCCGGGGCGCCGGATTCTGTCCTGGTTGCCCCTTTTCCAGGCGAGCTCTCTGCTGTGGCCTGGGAGTGCAGTGGAGGATGGCCCAAGTGCTTGGGCCCTGCACCCCATAGGAGACCAGGAGAAGCACCTGGCTCCTGCCTTCGGATCGGCACGGTGCGGCAGCCATTGGAGGGTGAACCAACGGCAAAGGAAGACCTTTCTCTCTGTCTCTCTCTCTCCCTGTCCACTCTGCCTGTCCAAAAAAAAAAAAAAATTCAAGTGAGCAAGAGGACTCTCCATGGGGTTTGTATTTAACCATAGCCCAAAGATATCACCTTACCTCCAGGCCAGCCTCTCAGAATTACTAGCAAGCTTGAGTTCAGCTGGAAATGTCTGTGGCAGCACAAGCACATTTGTAGGCTTTCCTCTGTGATCTGCAGAGGAATGTTGAGTATTATTGTTTAGAGAACAGAGCAGAGAAGCTAATGCAATGCATTATGAAATTGGGCAATGCAGACCTACTCTTTTATTAAGTATGCATTTTCCATGAACATTTTTTTCCTTTTTAAAGATTTATTTATTTATTTGAAAGGCAGAGTTACAGAGAGGCAGAGGCAGAAAGAGAGGTCTTCCACCTGCTGGTTCACTCCCCCAAATGGTCACAACAGCCAGAACTATGCCGATCCGAATCCAGGAGCCAGGAACTTCTGGGTCTCCCATACGGGTGCAAGGCCCAAGGGTTTGGGCCATCTTCTACTGCTTTCCCTGGCCATAGAAGAGAACTGGGTTGGAAGTGGAGCAACCAGGATTTGAACCAGTGCCCATATGAGATGCCTGCACTGCAGGCAGCGCCTTTACCCAGCTAAGCCACAGCACCGGTCCCCCAGACCTACTCTTGCTTTTCTTTCTACCACCCCTGTGCTCCTGTGATGATGAGCTGGGAACTTCTTAATTCCCACATTCATTGAACTATTAGACAAAGTTCTGCTGATTCTGTTTTAACAAAACTTTGGAAACATTAGAGAGAAACTCTGTAGTGAACTTTTTCAATTGATAGTCACCAGTTATTGGTCAGAATGTATTATGAAGATTATACTACATTAATTTTACTAAGTGGTTCTGCTTAGGTTGGCTATATTTAACTTTCCTGTGTCTTGCTTGCCATCTTTTTCAAAAGCACCATTTTAAATGTAGGTGGAATTCTGTCACTAATTTTAGCAGTATTTTGCTTTTAATATAAGCAGTATTTTGCTTTTCTCATTTTAGTTTTGCTGTATCCCTCCATTGTGGTCCTATTTCTCTTGGCATAGATGACACATAGACATTTTAACTTATCAAACTCATGTCAAAAGAAGTACCTACTTCTATAATATCAGACATCTTTGACATCTTTGAAAAAATGCCTACAATTTATTTGTTATGGCAAATAACTCATGCCCATGGCTTAAGTGTTTTATGCATTTCTTAGTGGGCTTTCCTCAAATTTTACCATTGTGTGCACACATGCAGACCTTCAGGGTGCTCATTCTTTGATTGGGGACTATGTCAGAGAAAAGTAGGCCAAAGGGAAAAATTATGGCCTCCTATCTCTGAGAAGTATGTTCAACTCCTAAATAGGTCACTGGGGGTATAACTGGAAGGCTTAGAACCCCAAGTCAGCACTTAGCTGTGGCATCAAACCACGACAGCATGGTTTGACAGCATGCCCAGGAGATTACTTCAGTCCTGTAGGGCCAGGAGTTTTGAGGTTTCTGTGTAGTGTTGGGGGATGGGAGAGGGTAAGGGGAAAAAGGTGGGAATGAATCCTGTGCTGTTATGGTCCAGATAAAACTATTCTCCCTCCTTGCTTTTTTTTATAGACACTGTCAGGAGAGGACAAATGAAGCAGAAATCTCTCTTTAGGGAAAACCAGCTGGGTCTTTAGTAGAAACCTGTTGTCTACATTTAGTTGGTTTTAAATAAAGACATTGTTAGGGTGTTTAGTTTTCTGAGCCTTTATAGAATTTTACATCTATAAACTGTAAACTGATTCAGATTCCTGAGCCATGTTTGCAAGAAGAGTGTGGCCTGGCTATTTCCTTTTTTCTTGGTAGCCCACTAAAATTTGGCAACAGAACAGTACCCCATTTTCCATACCTCTGAGACTCTTTTGGAATACAGTGTTGCGGTTGTTTGTTCTTCCTTCCAATGGAACTTTCCCTAGGTGCATTAGAAAACGACTGTTGAGGCCAGAATGTTGACCCTTTTCAAGTAGTTGGGCTCCAGCATCTACCATGAAGTGAGTACATGAAGCCTCTTTTAAAAACATTTGCAGTCAGCCCATCTTCCATCATGGGGAAGCCAGGTTAGTAAAAGAAACCTGGCCAGCGATAGATCAAGCTCTGTGGCACTGGGGCTCAGTTTGTAGAAGAGTTAACAGAAGCAAACACCTGGTATAACTGTTAGTGCCCTTCCCTCCCTCCTCCTTTCCTTGTAGCACTCTTCTCCAGGTGTCCTTTGCTGGGAGAATGCCACAAGCCAGCTCTACATAGAAGGCGATAAAACTTAGGGCACAGTCGGCTAGTTTGAAAAGACTGTATGCCTGTGGAAGTGACGCAACTGGCTAAGTTTCTCAATGGGGCATTTGTAATGGCCTGGCACTTCATTGGTTTCCTTGTTAACACTGCCACTGAGGCTTTGCATGAAAAAACCAGCAGTCCTTGTACTTTTTATGTACTTTAGGGCATTAGCTGTATTTGAGTCAGTAGCTAGGATGAAGGATGGTAAGGGCTTAAGGTTCAAGCACACCATGAACTTTCTGCTTTCATGTCTTTAGTTATCCTTCAATATGGCCATCTTTCCTACCTTTGAAAGGTAGACCATATTTGAAGATAAAAGTTGATGCCCACGTAAGTGTCCAGAGGAATCTGGCTGTTGCTGCTGACATTTGAATTTCGTTATATTTTGTTCCCTTAAAGTGTATGCTATTAAATTCGAGTATATTAATAGTTTTTAATTTAAAGTTTTTAAAATGTTAAACTTTACCCAGCACCCCATGACTTTTCTTTATTTTTTTCTTTAAGATTTAAAGATTCAGGGGCCGGCACCGTGATGCAGTAGGTTAATCCGCCCCCTGTGGCACTGGCATCCCATATGGGCGCCAGTTCTAGTCCTGGCTGCTCCTCTTCCGATCCAGCTCTCTGCTGTGGCCTGGGAAAGCAGTAGAAGATGGCCCAGGGGCCGGCACTGTGGTGTAGCGGTAAAGCGCTGCCTGCAGTGCTGGCATACCATATGGGTGCCAGTTCAAGTCCCAGCTGCTCCACTGCCTATCCAGCTCTCTGCTATGGCCTGGGAAAGCAGTGGAAGATGGCCCAAATCCTTGGGCCCCTGCCCCTGCCCCTGCATGGAAGACCTAGAAGAAGCACCAGGCTCCTGGCTTTGGATCGGGCGACACAGCTCTGGCCATTGCAGCCATTTGGGGAGTGAACCAACGAAAGGAAGACCTTTCTGTCTCCCTCTGTCTGTATCTCTACCTCTCAAATAAATAAAGTCTTAAAAAAAAAAAAAAGATTTAAAGATATTTACTTGAAAGAGTTGCAGGGAGAGAGGGAGAGACAGAGACAGAGAGAAGGGAGATCTTGCATCCACTGGTTCACTCGCCAAATGGCTGCAACTGCTGGAGCTGGGCCAAGCTGAAGTCAGGAGCCAGGAGCTTCTTCTGGATCTCCCACTTGGGTACAGGGCCCAAGCACTTGGACCGTCCTCTGCTGCTTTCCCAGGCACATTAATAGGGAGCTGGATCGGAAGTGGAGCAGCTGACACTAGAACCTGTACCCATATGGGATGCCAGTGCTACAGGCAGCACCTTAACCTGCTACACCACAGCATGTGCCCCCACCCCATACCTTTTCTAAGACATAAGCTGGTTTCCATTTTTGTATTTTCTTTCTTGGAGTTTTTAATTTCATTTTTGTTTGTTTTCATTTTATTTGAAAGAGATCTTCCATCAGCTGACTCAATCTGTAAACACTGACAATAGCTGGGGCTGTACCACGCGGAAGTCAAGAGCCCAGAACTCTGTTTGGTTCTCCTAAGTGGGTGGCAGAGGCCCAGATACTGAGATCATCACCTGCTGCTTCTCAGGGTACATGTTAGGAAGTTGGAATTAGAGGCCAAGCTGAGACTTGAACCCCTGGCGCTCTGGTCTGGGATGCAAGCTTCCCAGACAGCATCTTAACTACCATGTCAAATACCTGCCCCGTGTTTTGGTTTAGAAAAGGTTTCCCCCTGTACTCATAGGTCCCTTTGTCAATGAAAATGGCTGCTGGAGGCTGATGCACAACTGTGGTCCTGTCAGCAGTCACCCTTAACTGCCCATTTTGGCTAATACCAACACATTTTCTGAGCTGGCTAAGGGCAGCGGGGCTGTTTTGAGAGTAGGCCTGTTCTAAGCATGTATTGTCTTTTGCAGTTGGTCTTACACAATGCTGCTAAATATAATTGCAGGGTTTTTATCTGGTAGTGGAACTCAGATGGATGGATGAGACCCATGAACTGTGAAATTAAAAATCAAAACTGCTCAGTGCTATTGTTTGCTAGCTGAACACCTCTTCCCTTCACGGGGTGGGGGTGGGGGCAGTATTATGTCGTAGAGGGTTAAGCCGCTGCCTGCAGTGCTGGCATCCCATATGGGCATGTTCAAGTCTCGGCAGCTCTACTTCAATCCAGCTCTGCCGTGGCCTTGGAAAGCAGTAGAAGATGGCCTAAGTCCTTAGGCTCCTGCACCCATGTGGGAGACCTGGAAGAAGCTCCTGGCTCCTGGCCCAGCTCTGGCCGTTGCAGCCATTTGGGGAGTGATCCAGCGAATAGAAGACCTCTCTTTCTCTGTGTCTGCCTCTCTGTAATTCTGCCTTTCAAATAAGTCTTAAAAAAAAAAAAAAAAAAAAGCGGCAGTGGGGGGACATACAATGATAATGGAGGCAGTAAGATCTTTTTTAGTCTAGCTGATATTTTATTTCAACTGAAACTGCCATAAATGGCTAGAGAGCTTCTGATTCCTGGAGAATGATGGGCTTTGACAGGAGGGACCCTACCAGTTCATGTGACTGACCTCATTTAGAAGGGAACACGAGTGGAAGGCTATTGGTGTATTGTGTATAGATAAGCTGTTTGCATAGTGTTCCTGTTAAACATTTGTATTAAATAGAATATTTTGTCAGTCAAGGAAGAGAAAATGGAGTGTATTCTTTCTTAAATATTCTCAGCCACTTTCATCCTTTTGTCCTAAGATATGCACCAAAGTTTTTGATTTGGTTAAGTGAGATTTTCATGTCTCTCAGGCTACCATTGGCTCAAGTTTTAAAATGTCATTGTCTCTTAGGTGGATGGGCAGTGCAAGCCGCATATCAGTAAGGTCACATATTTAAAATACAGAAAACAGATCCAGAGCTCAACA